GTGGCAAGAACCTACAGAAAGAAATTAAAGGCAAAAAAAAGAGGGGATGCGATGAATCGCAAAAGGCCTTGGGGCGTAATAGTTCTGTTAATTAATGTCATCAATCAGTGACCAGAAGGAACACTAGCTAGGAATCTTTTAATCACGTCGTTACCAGAGAAAAGTGTGAATTAAACCCTTAAGTACGTCCGCGTTAGTGAAAGTAAATGACTGGGATACGTTATATCTGCAACTTGGAAGAACTTTATCATAAAGTAGAGTTCCCTGATAAGAGACTCAACCCAATTGGGTTGATTATTTAAAGGCAAGGAGAAAAGGCGTTCTTTAATACTCCTCCGGTTTTTAATATAGGACTCAATTCTTGAGTTGGTTTTGGTCCTAAATATAAGATTCGTTTATCATATTTATTAATTTTCTCTAAATTACCTCTATGGATACTCCTTCAACCACAATCAAGTAGAAGAGGGAGATGAGGTATTAAGAAAGATGATTATGGTGTTTTAAGAAAAATATGTCATTTTTCTTATAATTAACTAGTTTTCCTAACTTATTTAATCTAATCAAATTAGTTAAATGGGTCTTATAATATATAATGATGGAGTGCTAATGAACTCTTAAAGCGAGCAACGATCATTTATAACGTTCTTTTTACGGAGTTACAGTAGACTTAAATCTATATTATTATTAGATATATAAATTTTCATTGCTCGCTGGGACAAGCTATTTTTGGCCATTAGATTGATTTGATATGCTATAATTTAAAGATCAAAAGTTATTTGGTCAACAAAATTTTATGAAAAGAAAGGTTATGTGGCCTATCCCAAACTATATCTTGAACCACTTTGAATAAAGGCCTCTCGTAGTCATGCTAAAGAATTGGGCGATATTGAGAAAGGCAAGGCCGAAAGGAATCTGGCAGTATCTTAATCGATCTGCCTCTGGGATGCTCAGAGAGAGAGAGAGAGAGAGGGGCAGGAAGGGAGGGAGGGAGGGAGGGAGAGAGGCCAAGTCCAAATAATTAACAAAGCGACTTCTTTTGAATGTGCATTGAAAAGTATGCATTTTGACGACCTCACCTTTTGGCTTTGCTGAAGAAAGCATCGATCTCAACCCTCAAGGACGTACTGTTCTACTTGGTCGACTGATCAGTTCATCGATTTCAGCACATTAATGGAAAACTGCCTCGCATTTAATTAAGGACAAACCCATACCCTTGTCTGACGGACGAGATGTGGGAGAATTAGCAGCAGCTTTATACGTTGTTTTATAATCTTATTTATGCAACACCGATCTGTTATTCTATTCTCTTACTTCACACCACCCAATCCATAACTACATAAAATAACAAAACAGTTTTTGATGTGTTATGGAAATTAATTTCCTCTCCTGAGGGCTATAGGAAAATCTGTTCACGACTTGTAAAAAGGTTCAGATGTTAAAACTTGGATTAACAAGAAATGGATCTCGAAACTTGGCGAAGGGATGAAATGAGATGAAGGGGACAAGGGATGTTTACTGGTAAGGGGAAAAAAGAAATAAAAGATTAAAGGAGACTGTGGAAAATGCTTGTTGAGTATACGAACATGATTAAGAATATGTATATGGAAATTTTTTTGGGATATAAGGTGAATGAGGATGGAGATGGCGCCAGAAGGGTAAAGGCAGAAAAGTGCTAAAAGCAAAGCGAAGCTCGCCCATACCGATCTGCTTCCTCCATCATCTTTTTGTCTGACGCGAACTATTCAGAACTTCCTTAAATATTAATATGCCTATCTTTTCTGGACTATTTCTCTTGTTTAATCATTTTTAGCTTTTTTTATTCGCCTCTTGCTGGCTCTAGCTGGCTCTGGTATCTCTCATACTGACGAGTCGTGTTCGTGTGGAGAGGAAGAACACAAAAGAATCGGCCTGCTAGTACACTATGCACAGTATGTTTCTGTGGGCTTGTAATTTTACACGTAACCTTACAAAACATCTGATTTTTTTCCTATAGGTTATGTTTGTGGCTAGGTCTGGGTCGGTATAGTATAATATATTACATGCATTATGCAGCATCGTTTAACTGTGCATGTGTGTTCATATAAACTATCAGGGAGTGCTCCGTCGTACCCTTATTTTAATATTTATATGTGATTCTTCAATTCTATGCACGTTGTGATGAGTGCGGGCTAAGAGAGATTTAGAAGAGTAAAATTAACAACAAATTAGCTGGATATATTATTTTTATGTATACATAATTGTCATTGTATACGTACGTGGGCCAGCTATGTGGCTAGCTAGGATATAGCCTTTGCAAGTGTAAGAATAAAATTAATGAGGTTTTTTTTATTACTTGAGTGAACAAAATGGAAACAAATGGCTTGGTGGAGAATTGGCTGGTACGAGTGGGGATGACGTTTCACCCGGAGGCCAGCCACTGCCATTATCACTGAAGTTGAATCCAATTGGGTTGGAGGCTATGCTATGTGTATATATACAATTAAGGAAAACCAATATGAAATATACGCTATGGGAACAGTTGTTTCATTTCTTTCTGAAACATATATATTCGAGTCTAGTAGGAATATGCTCACTAAAATTTAAGGGACCGGCCGATAGGGCATACATGATTATTATCCTGATGAAAAAAGAGAGAACATAAACCTTGACGGGTTGGATCAACTAGCCGAAGTTGTTCCAACTTAATTTCAAATTCGAAACCTGGAAATGTAGCATCTAAGGGTAAAGACACCAACTTTAATGATTCCTGTCATACTTTGAATCTGGATTGGTTTGGACCCATTGAGTTTTTCGTAACATAAGGGTTGGCCCAGGATATCGAGTACACTATGCAAAAAAAAAAGGAGAGAGAGAACATAGGGATAATTGTGAGATAATAGCAATGGATTATCTATATTAAGCAGTAGGCATAGCGGTCAATTGTGTTTTGATTACTATTGTAATGAATTCTTAATCAGACTTCCATGTAGTACAATGATTTGACGCGTCCAAAACAAAATGTATGGAAGTGATTTATCTTTATCTTTTCCTTATGGCTCGATTCCTTTGAAGCTCATGAGTTTTGTGTGGATTCGACGGGACTCTTGCTTTTGGGAACTAAATCAAACCCCCAAAAGTATAAAGCTGTGTTTGACTGATTCTGCTGTTCCCGCGTTGAACCCAGTATCTCTATTGATTTTTTTTTTTGGTCCTCCTTTCTCCTTCTGGGGTAGTTTCGAACCTTTATCCACAGTGTGCAAACTTAATTATCACCCATCAACATCACTCTTAAGTCTTGATATAACTGTTATATTAACCCCCTTTTCTGTTATAATAACACTAGCTAGTTTGCATCAAATTACAAACGGATCATGATTTTAAGTTGTCTAAGCGATAGAGAAACATAATTGTGGACAAGTGTCCCGATTATCCTCAACTTGAGATAAAAAGGAGAGTGGTTTTTATTGTAGTTTTCAAATTTCAAAACCAATTATGTGGTATAATATATTATATAAACATGACTAAAACCAAGTAGTAGTGGAGATACTGTCAAAAACATGGGAGGGGAGCATCCAACCTGATTATCAGGATTCTGACAACGAATTGCGATGCTGATGAAAAAGAAAAGGCAAAAAGCTATTGTAGACGCGGCTGATGATCTTTGGCAAAAACGCAAGCGTTTTAATCGCCTCATGGTTATTGGTCTGGTCCTACCTGGTCAAAAATAGGGTCAACTCAATGCCACGGCCACTGATCTCTTATTCTCGGTCGTTTCTTCCTGGGAATAGGAGAGAATATTCTATTCCTCCCACAATAGATTTTTTTATTGATTAATTTGTCAGCATCAAGCATATAAATAATTACGATTACAATTATATATGAGTACTGAATGTTTTTTAACTATTAAACTAATTAACAAGTAGGTTAGTCAATAAAAAACGCTGATGAAATAATATATTAAAGAAAAATTATAAACTGCTAGGGATGAGGATGAGAAGATTCTCTCTCTCTAATTAAATTCCCAGTGACAGGAGAGGATCTATTTTCCCAAGGACATATCAAGAGGGTGTTTGGATAGAAACCAAATCATGGTTTTAAAAGTGCTTTTACGGTTTACGAAGTAAATATGTGGAGGAATTTGCCTTGTTTTACAGAAAAGTGCTTCTGAAACTATGGTTTGGAGATTGCCAAACACCTTCCAATTTCCTGATGTGACCTATTTATAATCACTGTGTTTGATCCGGATCTATAATTCATGAAAAGTCAGAAATCTCGATTAAGAAACTGGTTCATTAATTCAACATTCCTTCTCCCTTTTTTTTGTTTTTTGGTTAAATAATTCTTTCCCCACCATATGCTCTTAATTACTACGTTACATATGGGAAATGCATTCAGCCATTTTTCAGTTTAGTGATACATTCTGATTGTGAAATGTAAGCCATGAATTCATTTTTTTGGGTGTATAATATGTACAATTGTAATTGTTTATAATGTTAATTTTTGAGTTTTAATAGCTGCCGAACAAATGAACAAAGCGAAGCACAATAACGTACACGTATAGTATGCCACTTCCCCCCTTTTTTTTGTGGGGGGGGGGGGTTTGGGTGGTGGAAGGAGAGAGCGTGGCTGCTATCATTTCCAGTAGCAGAGCTTTATTGAAAGCCTTGGGATTGAAGGGAAGGTATTTTATAAGATGGAGAGATATAAAGAGGGGGCTATAATCATCTCCCTGTAATTGCAGAGACAGCGTACATATAAAAGGCAAATATAGTTGGGGGAGGGGGAGAGAGAGAGAGAGAGAGACGAAGCAGCGAAAAAGAAGGTGGGTAGAGAGGCTAAAATTTTATTTTATTTTTAATGTACGCTTGAGCATTCCGGAGTGAGGAGGAAAAATATAAAAAGCGAACTAGTCGGCCTAAAAGGAAAATAAATAATTAAAGTCAGAGAGAGAGGGGGGCATGGAGATGAAATACGCATGCTGTCTTCCTTTCTTTTGAAGGCTAATATAGTAACATGGAGAACTTGAAACAGTAGAGAGAGAGAGAGAGAGCTCAGAAAAAAGTGGGCGAAAAGCAGCGAGGTATGTGGGTGTCACCTGGGAACTGTGTTCTACTTTGAATAGAGAGAGTACTGTCACCCGCAGATTCCCTTCCTTCCTCAAAGCCACAATTGCTTCTCACAACATTTAATCATCTTGGGATTTTCAAGAGCCCTTCTTATTCTCTTTTAAAACCTTATTATAAATCTATCATTATGGAATCTACCAATCTCCATCACCTTCATCAAGACCATTCTCATCCTCCTCAGACTTCTTCTTCTTCTTCTTCTTTATCCGCCCCTTCTCTCTTTGGCCTCCCAACCTCCCATTCCTGGACACCAAATGTCGCTCTGTAAGTTCCTTCTCATTCACACCATGCTTCTGCCTCATTAATTAGGTTCGTGTTCATTTACGAGTATATAGATATGTGTATGTACGAGAGCACACAGTCATCGCGAATCTGTATTTTCTTCAATTTGAATTAACAAAGCAGTTCGCGTGATTGTAATTGACAACTTCTCCTATCTCTTCTGTTTTTTCCCGGTATTATACATACATATATATATATAGATATATGGGTGCTTAGGGCTTGGTCTCTAATTCAATTTGAGCATTAAAGCTATATAGTATATTCAAGTTAAAGTTTAATCAGTTCCGTTTTCCCTTTCGCACAGGAATGCTGGTAACTTGAACCCAAATTTCCAAGAGTCAAATCCCAGATCAAGAGCTTTCGCGCACAAGAAAGACATTGGAACCTATCGTCTTCTGAACGATTCAGGATTAGGTTATCAGTGGGCAAGTGCGGAAGAAAGGGAAGTGAGCAGTACTCAGTCGGATCACGACTTGGGCCTTCAGTATTCAAACATAAAGGAAGAGATCTCAGATGTTTTTCCCTGTAAATTCACTGAAATGCTAAACAGTACTGGTTCTAGTATGGAGCACAAAGATTTCAATGCTCTTAGTGAGAAGCTTTTGCTCAAGACCCTCTCTTCCGGAGACTTCTATTCCACTTCTGAAAATTTTGCTAATAATTTTGGTGGTGGTATGGGTATGGGAGTAGCGCCTAGTAGAAGGAGCTTTAGTCAGATTTACCCAAGCATTAATATTTCGAACTTAAACCATTCTTCCCCAGCTATTTCAAGCTCTTTGGATATGAACATGCAGAGCTCAGATCTATTGAACTCTGCAAGATTTAATGGCGGTTTGAGCCAACATACCCAAGACGGTTTAGCCAGATTCGACAACGTTTCTTTTCGTCTTGATCATATGCATCAGCACCAAATCGACAGGTCTTCATGCAACTCCAGTAATATTGTGAGTCTCTTATAATTTCTAAATTAAAGTAATTAAAAGTTTAGTTATATTTACCTCAGTCGTATGTATTACTAATTGACTAGAGAGAATTTATCCCGCTGAGTTCATATTTATAATTAACTTTAAATCGCAAGTGATACGTATTTCTATATAATGGAAAGAGTTAATAAAGAATACTTTAATGTATCAAGGTATGTCAAAGAAGAACAAATAACAAATAAGAACCGTGGATGATCTAATTATGAATATGCTTATTATTGATAGTTGACGAGGTAAGTTTTCGATGATAGGAAAAGACGGATTCCTTTACTGTAAAAAAAAAAATCAAAAAAACTTTTTTTTATATTAGAGAGGTATCTACAGCTTTAAACATGGCAGTACACATGTCTTTAATCAGAATTTCTTTACTTTTTCATTTCTTTTGGCTTTTTCGCTCTTGAAAAAAGGGCAACTTTAATTATTATTCAACTAATCTTTACTCTTTTCTACTTTGATAGCCATCACACTTCACTAATGGCATGGCAGAAACGAAGAGGCCCAACACAACTTTGGTGGAGTCAAAGGCTTCTCAATCTCAAAATGTGCCAAAAAAATCACGATTGGAATCGCGCTCATCATGCCCACCCTTTAAGGTGCCCTTTTCTTATCTTATAGAACAAGATAATGAACCTAATGATGGATTTATCTTGAAGCCACAAAACTAATCAATTACCTTAGCTTTTCACCATTATTATTTAAAGATCTTCAAGCTTCCCACCAAAACAATATCACATTGTCCTTTAACTTTATCAACTTTAATTTTTATTTACATAGGTCTCAGGTTACATTTACTTTGGCTGAAGATATTATTTGCTTTTGTTTTGTATGCTTCGTGATTAAACGTTCAGGTTAGGAAAGAGAAACTAGGAGATAGGATTGCGGCTCTTCAACAGTTGGTGGCTCCTTTTGGCAAGGTACTTAACTCTCACATCCGATCCATCAGGATACTTCATGAAGTAACACAACAAACCCTTCAACCTTACGTCCTTTCAAAGTATATATCGATCGTATTTATTTTCGAGAACTTCTGTATCATATAAAGATAAAAAAAAGGACCCGTAAGCTTGTTTAAGAAAGCGTACAATAGCGAGTAGTGATCTTATATGCTCATGAACAGGAACTGACGATATCGTAAATGTCTAGATTAAAAATGCTCGACAATTAATGTTTGATCAGATCTTATGTTATGTTCCTTAACATGATTGTACGCGGGTGTCTGCAGACAGACACAGCATCCGTACTCATGGAGGCTATTGGATACATCAAATTCCTTCAAAGCCAAGTCGAGGTACGGATCTAAATAAATTCCGCTGTTTGCTATTTTTGTTTTGTCAACGCCCTCTTTATTAAACTTCTTCATTATGAATACTCCTATATTAGTCTGCAAAGACACGAACGCGATAGAACCTTTACTGTTTGGCATCCAGTATTATATATGCACCACCGGCCTGCAATATATATTACTGATTTATTCCACCCGACTCAATTGATTTGTGCTATATATATTCAAAACATATATGTGTGTACATGCACGTGACAATATAGATTTTATGAAATTTTCAGACACTAAGCGTTCCATACATGAAGTCATCACGGACCCAAAGCAACAGAGGGATGCAAGGGGTAAGTGTCCCTATTAACAACACTAATTTTTTATCAACATGCGCGCATGCACGTAGGGAAGTTAATTATATGTTATCTCTAGTCCTTGATAAAAGAGTTAGATAACTATTTGCAGATATTAAGAAAATTAGGTGAGATCGGTATTTGTAATAAATAAATGTTGTATTTCTTGAAATCACTTATTAATCATGTGCATTGAAATTACACTTTAATAGGAACTTGTATTCATCATATGGATTACCTGGGGGAAAATAGATAAATATTAGAGATAGAGTGAACTGAGGTATTATATGTTGGATCAAATTAAATCCCTAACTAGATCTTATTAGTAATTAAGGACTGGAGTTAGTATTCCGCTATATGATTAAGAAACTATGCATGGTAATTAATCAGTAATTAACGGGGATATTATATTCTCTAAAGCCTAAAGGTGCCATCTGTATAATTGGAAAGAATTACAGTAGATATGTGTGTGTGTGTGTATCACAGTATTAGCTTACATATTGTGGAAGTGATATTGATAATAAAACTGGGACGCATGACGATGGCAGGTTTCAGGGTTATGTGAGGCGAAAGAAGAACAAAAAATGGATCTAAGGAGCCGAGGCCTATGTCTGGTGCCATTGTCATGTATGTCCTATTTAGCTGCTGACAGTGCCGGTGGCGGGGTGTGGCAACAGCCTGATTTTGGTGGCCCAACGCTATGATTACTCAAAATGTTTCCATTTAAATTTTATAAAGACATTATTATTATTAATCCAGGTGTTCAGACCTGACGTCCAGAAAAAAAAAAGGGGGGATATATGAAAGATGTAAATCTGGGCTGGGATTAATTGAACACTAAGCCCACACTGGTTAGGCTGGCTTAGGAGCAGTTCAAAATTCTGATTTTATAACATGTTTGGTTTGGCGGAGCAAATTTGGTCTTCCTGTGCAAGAAGTCGGGGAGGGACCAAATTTGATCCATCAACGCGTCATATGCATGTACCACTACTTTCCTTGTAGCTTCGTTTTCATCAAAGTCATTTTTAGTTTTTAATTTACTTCATACCTTTGCGCTTTTCCTTTCTCATTTCTGCCTGTCTTGTTGTGGTTTGATCAGTTGAGAATTGTTTTATTGTAACTAATCTTATAGGGTGTTTGACAATCTCCAAACTATAATTTCAGAAGCATTTTTTTGCAAAATGAGACAAATTTCTCCATATATTTACTTTGTAAACTGTAAAAGTACATCTGAAACCATGGTTTGGTTTCTATCCAAATATCCCCTAATTTACTTTGAGAGATCGAAAAGGACTTTTAAGCTCGAGACTAAATAAACTGATTGAAGTAGCAAACTTTTTTCAATTAAGAGACTGAAATTCTTTTACAGTAAAATTAAAAAAAAAAATGCCCCGTGCACCATAGGAGACAGGACTTGGTAAAAGTTTTCCTTTTGTTTTTTTAGGGAAAAAAAGCTACAGAAGAAGTTATATTAATCCAAGTTTAAATGATGGAAAAATTAATAGATTTTTCTTTCATTATTCGCCAATGTCTAGAAATTATTCTTTGCGATAGAAATAGAGCAGGGAACTATTCTTTGCATTTCACCAAACAAGCAAATTAAAGAGCAATAAAATTTTTATCTTTAGACGCTTGAAATAAGTTTTAGTGTGAGATTTTTTTTTTCAAATTCATGATCTTCTTTGAGCGAATACAATGTTTTGGAAATGTTACCTTATAAAAGCTAAATAACTAATTTATAAATATTGAAAAATTAGTTAATTATTTATAATTAAAACATATTGTTTTTAAAAAAAAAATATTTTGGCAATTTTCTCCAGACCCTCGAGGAAAGTATGAAAAAAAGGCTAGAATGGTATGATCTCACCGCCACCCCAAAATGAAAGGGATAATCTCATAGTTCTTGATCTATGAAGAGATATTATTAAGTGCTCTGTGAAATCATTTTATTATTAAATTTTTAATACGTGCAATCATTATAAAAATTATTTTAAAAATTTATAAATATATAAAACAAAATAGATTTTTTTCTATTCACCAAAACAAAATAAATTAAATTCTATATTTAGAATAAATTAAATTGTTTAAATAAATAAGGGGAAGAAGGTAAGAATATGGTTGGAGAAGAAACGGATGCGCCCAAAGGGGCGAGAGAACTAGAGATATTCTGATTAGCGCAGAGAAATCAGATATTTCAAGGGGCATGACCTTATCCTTATTCGTATCAATACTGACTGAAGAGGTGCTTGTGCACGTGGCGCTCTCTGCGTAACTTGACGTCGTTTTCTAAGGATTTGGCTTCAGGGCCACGCCGTTATCACCCTTGCGTTCTCGGGAAAAGTCATAAATACCCTCCGCCGCCCCTAATTGGCTGCCCGCTGGTTCTTCGAAATGAAATAAATTAAAATTTTCTTTAAAAAAAAAATGCCAACTGACAATTGCTTCCATTTAAATTAAGCAATGACCTTTGGTTGGTTTAAAAATGTCAAATATAATGCCCCGGCACAAGGTGAGAGTGAGCTGTAGCAAGTTAAACTCAAGCACACTGACTTTAGAGTTTAGAGAACAAATTAATAGGATATTTGGATAAGAACAAAATTATGGTTTTAGAAGTGCTTTTATGATATACGAAGTAAATATGTGAAGGAGTTTATCTCGATTTGTAAAAAAAATACTTCTAAAAATGATTATAAAGTGTTCCAAACATCCCTTAAAGTTAGTGTGCGAAGTTAAATTAAGAGCGCAAATTAAAGTTGGTGTGCGGAAGTAAAATTTCATTGGATTTGTTTCAGCTGAGTTCATTGTCCTTCTCACATGATTATTTTTCCTGATATGAAAATCATTACGTGTTTAGCCATCTAAAAATGGTATGATTAGATATTTAGTTGTTAATTGTAGGAAGTTATATAAGAAGTACGCCAGTAAATGATACTTGCGCCATAAGTGAATAAACGAGGGTTTGATTAGGTTTCCAATGTAAGGGAGTCTATAAACATACTCAATTTCATACAACTCGAGTTAAATCGCTGCGCCTTTTTCTTTTATTATTACAACATTTATATTTGCCAAGGTTCCTTGTTTTCCACATCGACACGTATTCTTGTTTATCCTCCTTTGTCTTCAGGACTAATTATTGTATATGCCCTTAAATTTAACCATCACGTGGTCTTCAAATATAATATCAATAATCATCCATAATTAAATAATTCAAGGACTGTTTCAAAACTTCAAATCAAGATCCAAACTCTGAGACAAGCTGAATAGCTCCAGATTTAAAATTATTCCTCTTATAATCATACAGACCACAGAAGATGCGTATGTCTATGCTGTTTTTTCCCTTTCGATGTCAAAGTTTCAGCTAAGTTTGTATCATTAGATGGTTTGAAAAAATACAGCTTATATTATTATCTCTTGAAATATAGGCCAAGTGAAATCAAGTTTAAGAAGTTTAAAGAGGGAAACTACGCAATAGCCAACCAATTTTTTGTCAATCAGGTTGGTGAATTTAAAGGACGAAGGAGGGATATTTAAGCAGTAGTATTATTTTTTGTTGGATTAAGATGCAAATTTGACCCTCATCTTATTTTTCCGACACAATTTTATCCTTAATCCTTTAGAAGTGTAATTTTACTCTTGATCTTATTTCTCAGGTGCAATTTTATCCCTAATATTTTTTTCTTGGGTGCAATTTTGTCTTTGATCTTTGAGTGTAATTTTGATCTTGAGGGACAAAATTACATCAAAAGAAAAAAATCAGGGTCAAAATCACACCATTAAAAAGATTAGAGGCAAGATTGCACATGAAAAATAAGATTGAAGTTAAAACTGCACCATAAGTTTTTTTGTTATTTAAATATTTATTATTATGTGGAAAATTATGAATATTCAGTTACAAGATTATCACCTCACATAATTATCTTCTTTTCTCCAGCATATCACACGGCGGCAGGCAAGCGGTGCCTTCAAATAGCAAGTGGGAAATTTGGAGGGCATAAAAGTGATTCCACTTCTTGCGCTCATGAAAGCAGTCGCTTTAGACTTTTAGTCCGGCCTCTGGGATCTTTCTGACACCGCGAAGAGTCTCTTATCTCCTCGCAATTATCTCATTCCCTTTATCTGGTCTTTCTTCCACAGATCTCTATGTCGTTAAGTTTAGCTGTACCTTCGATTCCCAATTCCTTCTGATTTCTATTCCATTCCTTTGTCCATGTTGAAATATCTTGTCATGTTTGTGCATGATTTTCTATCCAAATCAATTTAATTATTCGACCAATTCTCCCGCCATCGCGTTCCCGCTTAGTTGGATTCTGGACGTTGTCTGTTAAATTACAATTACAATTAAACTAATAGCGAAAGCTCTGGGAGGTAACGGGAATTGCTTCTCGTCTTCTCGAGGTGATCGAGGACTAAATTACTCGTTGATTGTTGACCGTGATTAAACGTGGTGAGTTCTGATCTCTTATCGGCGCGACTTAGGTTTTAAATCAATCGATTGATTATGTAATCAAGCTTCTCTTACTTCATAACAGAACTTCTGCCTCTTCGTATTTTTATTGGACAGATTTATGATTTGTGAATGTTATCGATAATTGCGAGAACAGAGGGGCATGGAATTTTCGAATATATACTTTTTCATATTTATATCTTTCGTTTCTCTGTTCTTTCTCAACTCTCGACTGTGCTCCTTGAGTGGGACCGTATGGATGGGGTAAGGTATAAATCGTTACAAAAATTTATAGTATTCAAAATCCTTTCGTCCATTTGTTTTCTAGGTACCGCTTGTATTGTGAATTTTTGTAAGTTGCCAGCCAAGTCATCTGCAATGCAGCAATTTGTGAATGTTTATTCCCACAGGACCTAAAACGAAATTTCTGCTCATCAATAAATTATGTAAAGCTATTGTCCGCTATAATGTTCATTAGTTCCGAGGCAGCAACACAGTTCTGATCACATTATTCTTCTTGTCGATTTAGAGAAGGCAGTATGGGTTCTCTACAAGGACCAGTTTTATGCCCCTCTGTTCGCGCCAAATTAGCAGGATTTTGCAGTCTGCCTATGATCGGACCAATAAACCATAGATGTCTTAGAAGTGACTTCTGGGGACTCAAGGCACTCGGTGGCGGCAAAGCGAAGGCAGGAATTCTCTCTTGCCAAATAAATGTGCGGAAGTGCAAGACAGTGCATTGTAGTTTCGGCTCATCTTCCAATGGCAATGGAAGCACGGCAGAAAATTTTAATGAAAATGATGAAGACTACGTTAATTCTAGCGTGATTGAAGCTGGTATGTTAACTCTGAAGTTTGCTCAATGTACTGATATAAATTTGATTTTACGTATTGCCTTTTGTCTTCATAGGATGTATGCATTGGGCTTATCTTTTATCAGAGTAATAATTTTTCTCTGAAGGCTCCTCATCAGTTAAAGCATTCTGTATTATTTGCGGTCATGCTTTCATGCTCAGTTAGAGTGTGTCAAAAATAAAATATGGGGTCTTGAATAGGTTTCTTTTTCTCAGGCTCATGGGGCAAAAAAAAAAAAAAAATCTCGATTACCTCTATGATTGTATAATTAATTTGCGACTGTTGATTATTAGACTCTAATTACACCCCTCTCCCCCCAATGAAATACCTCTTATTAAGTAGACTTGTTCTGTGATTATACTTTTCAGTTGAGGTGAAGAGCGGAATTGATGGCTTCATGATCAAAATGAGGGATGGCAGACACTTGAGATGTGTCCATAACAATCCTCATGGGGGACATCTACCAGATTATGCACCTCATCCTGCCATTGTATTAAAGATGGAAGATGGGACTGATCTACTTCTCCCAATAATTGTTTGTATGTCTCGTGTTCTCCCTAATCCCTCTGTATTATGTATTGAAGAAAAATTGTTCTTGGATCTTTGATCTGATTGTGATGGTGGTTTATATTTTATATATTTCTGCCATTCTAAATTTGTGGGGGATCTTTAACTGTAGTGGAAATGCCCAGTGTGTTACTGATGGCAGCAGTACGCAATGTTCCAATAGTACGTCTTCTTCACTGAATCTATCAAATTCTTTTATGTAATTTAACTCTTTGGATATTTACTATTTCGTTGTTTTATCAGGCTAGACCTACTTTATATCAAATAGTGAAGGAGATGATCGACAAGATGGGTTATGAAGTATGATTTATCGCGCTTACAGCTGTTTCTGATTTTTTTATTCTCTCCAACACACACACACCCACACACACATTTTGTGGTGATATGCATTATCAAATAATGTTGGTTTCTGCCTCTGCAGGTTAGACTCGTCAGAGTGACAAAAAGAGTTCATGAGGCTTATTTTGCTCAGTTATATCTTACCAAGGCACGTACTGACTTTGCACTCTTGCCCGCCCCTCCCCCCCCTCCCCCTCAAAAAAAAAACCTACCTAAAACAAAGTGCAAGGGAACAAAATTTTTTGTGGCTTATCTAATTATCTTACACTCGGTGTAGGCTGGAAATGAGGAAGAATGTATGAGCTTCGACCTTCGACCTTCAGATGCTATCAATATTGCAGTAAGATGCAAGGTAAACTTTGTGGTCTATGCACAGGAAATACTCAATCACCTGCGGCATATTTAACTATCCCATTGCTCTGCTTAATGGTTGTCCATTTATTTATGGTTTTTCATTTGTGCCTTGGCTGAAGCTTAAAAAAAGTGGGTACTACCAGGCAAAAAAAAAAAAAAAACTATTTGGCATATTTCTTTCTTTTTTTCATCAAATCTTTGTTATGGAGGCAACTTTCCTGTATCCTGGGTGGACTATTGACTTGTTTTGGAACATGTCACCCGTTGTTGAACCCTGAGATATCTTGTTCTTGGACTATTGCAATGATTTTTACCAAATGTTAAATTTATGGTTTTTACTTGTTAAACAAGACTTATCTTTTTAATTCGAAATTTTCCACTAATGTCGTAGGTGCCTATACAAGTCAACAAATACTTAGCATACAGTGATGGGATGAGAGTAATTGAATCTGGCAAACTCTCAACCCCGTCCCCTGGTTCAGACGGCCTTTTATTTACTGAATTGGACCGGTAAGAAAGATGCCTTAGAAGGCAATAAGTTTTCTCTGTAATCTTGATCTAAGGAAATCTTGAATATCTTATGATATCACCCTTTTCCTGGTAGAAAGCAAGTTTTAACTGGAAGTGACATTGTTTCAGGCCAAGTGGTCAGCCTTGCACCGAAACTGAGGAGTTTGGTCTTTTGCACAATATGATGAAGGCTGTTGTTGAAGAGCGCTACAAAGATGCTGGTAATTTCATTTCTGTCTTACTCTTTGTTTAATCTCTTGTTTTCAATTCTTTTTGAACTTTACTTTTTTCCTTTCTTTTATCTTTAACATGTGTGATTTATGACCAAATTTCTACCTGCAAGCTGGAGTGTCTTCGCTCTAGTGGACAGCATTAGTTTGTTCTTGCCAACCTTACAAGTTCAAGCTGTATCAGCATGTAGATATTCCATTTTTCTTAACCTTAATATAATTTATAACCATTTGGTATCAGTATTTGGATGTCAAACTTGTGCTCATTAAAGTTGCACATTTCATAACCATCAGAAAATGTTTTCGCCGTGTCTTGATGGATTTTGTTTTCATTATGTTCTGTTCTTATATATGTGATGTACTGAAACTTGGACGTCTTATTGTGGGAATCCATTAATCAAGTGGAAGTGATTCTTCGTTAGTACACGCATTTAATTAGTATCCAAGTCTTGAAGGATTATAGCAGTACTCCTGTGGCTACAACTTTGAACGCTTAGTATTGCTGATGCTTACTGCAGCTTTGTGGAGGGACAAACTCAATCAATTCAGGGCGGCAAAAAACGTGAAAAAAACGTATGAAGTCTAGTTGTTTTGCTTCAGCCTTGAACTCTCTTCCCATCCCCTTCCCCCAGTATTACATTAAACCATGTTGACAACTCTTAATTGTTGCAGATACTGGCTTTGATTTGTACATATTCCTATACTACAAAGTGGATGGGATTCGGTCCAGCAGACAGCAGTCATATTTTTACTTACCTCCACTTACGCCTGTGAATATTTGTATATATACTGACATTAATGCCAATGTAAACTCAATTATGTATTCTCGTTGCTTGCTTCAATCCTTACGGGCTGTTAAATATGCATGTAATGTGAGCTGTCCGTGGGGCGCAGCTTTCTGCTTTTGATTGTTTCAATGCCGTGTAAATTTACGGGCTGTTAGTCAATTATTTGGTTCGTATGTTTTGTGTTTAGCCTACTTGCCCCTTGGAAAGCTAAGTTTTTCCCCAAATATGTGGTTTGGAATGATTTTTTTATTTCGGTATTAGGAATTTCGAAGTACTATCTGGTGATTAAGTTTAACCCAAGTTCTCCTTAGCACATCCTATGTGTGCATGTGTGGTGGAGTTGACTCGGCTAGCCCTGCGGAAGGATTGTAAAAAGATCTCAAAATCATATGTTCCCGCCAGTCGGGAGTCAAACCGTAAATGCGTCACTGGCGCGCCCCTCAGCTGAACTTGCCAGTAATTAAATAGGAGTAAATTGGTTCATTATTTTCATAATTAAATAGTAAATCGGTTCGTTACTCTCATTGCGCGCGATTAATGACTATACAATATTTGGTTTCGAAGGGTGGCGACTGGGTCTGTGGCTTGGTAAAAATTAATTTGGATTCTTTAATTCCATCCCCCGTTTTGAGGCTCTAGGTGAACTTGACAAATACGGAAAGTTATGTTATTTCTTTATTCAAATCCATCTTACCATTTAAGGGACATAAGTAAAGTACCAAACTATAAAAAGTATTGATGGCATCACATACATTTCTACCTCGTCTTCTTATTTGTATAAGAACTTATTTGATTTTTATTTTAGATATAAATATAAAAATTCAATCTATTTTATCTTTTATATTTATTTATTATTTTAAGACAATTCTTATAATAATAATAATAGTTTTAGTTAATATATTTGATTAGCAGTGATATTTTAGGAAAGACACTTGTTAATCAAATTTATTGGTTAAAACTACTATTATTAGAATGACTATATTGGAAAAAAATGAGTAAGTATGAGAGATAAAATAAATTGAAATATTTATATTTAAATATTATATTAAATACTGAAGGTGGTATTAGGGATAGTAGACAGTATAAGCTCATTCAGCCAGCCAATTCATGCATTCACTGGCTGCGCAAGTGCACTCTTTGAAAGTCATAGAGCCTGCAAGAAGCAGGCACAACACAAACTGATCGTGTCCTTTCTCTCGAGCATTTATGGTTTTCGCAAGGTTAAAAAACAGAACAACACCTTTATTTAGAAACTAATTCGGTTACGTATCTCGCACTTATCTAGGGTTTTAAGATAAACCACACTATCCATATTTATAGTCTTAAAATATTTTTTATAAATTTTTCTATTATATCACATTATCTGGGGCTTTATCTTTTATATATATTTATTGTGATAAAAATATTTATATAATTATTTAATACGAAAATTAGTGTGCATATATGTGATTTTAATTGAAGAATTAATCAAAATTATAAATTGATCATTTCCTAGTAGAAACTAATTAGCCTGCGATAAATGATAATCCATTCTCATGCTTTGTGTGTGACTAATGAGTTACATTATACTCTATATAATAACCATAGCTTGGGCTAATTTTTCTATTTTAGATTTATTAATATTTAAAAAAAAAGTTAATTAATTAAGTGTTTTTTCCCCCAAATGTAAAAGAGTCAGCTGTAGCTCCGTCACCAGCCGCCACGGACGGCCACTTCCCGCCAATTCAAACATAACGTAACAGCGCTGGCTTCGCTTAAAGACAACGCGGCTACTTACCCCGCTTCTGCAGCATCTAGTTTTAACTTTTAACCTTTCCGGACTTCAAGTTTTTCTTCATTTTTTCACTTCTCATCTTCTCTTTCAGTTTTCTTCTGCCGACACCGCCTATTCTCTCTTCACTGTCTCTGTCTCCGTTTGATTATACCTTCAAAACATGTACGCAGGGGCAATACACCGAAACTGTTATAATTATTTTATTAGAAAATAAAAAAAGGAAGCAAAACGTCATCATTGTGAGTTTCATTTTTGGCTGTGGCTTTGGTATCTCCCCTTTGACAAATCATCGTGAATTGAGAGGGTTTTGATGCTCCATATATCCCTCGACTTTGATCTTCACCTGACAATCTCGAAATGTCCGGGCCGCTTGATCGGTTCGCTCGGCCTTGTGAGTAGTTCCTCTTGTCACAGAGATGCTTCCCCCCCCCCCCTCAAAAATTCAATTCTCATTTACTACATTTGGTTCAATTGTGCCTTTCCGAGTTGCTTATTGTAGGTGTTTTGAAATTAAAGTTTTCTTCACCGTAATTCGTATGTTAGTTAGTGATATGCATCAAGGAATTCCTATTTGATTATGCTGCGTGCCGCATCTGGATCGGTAAATTAATTCGCCTGCTACGAATCAAGAAGGATTGTGGGGTAAACGAGCTAAATTTAGCTAAACTGATACCCCGATTATTTAAGAAATTGTCAGGATTTATTTTGGGATTAAATCATTCAAGTCTTGATCCTCATGCTTATATGATCTCAAGAACCGTGATGCATGTTGTATATAGAGTGTTGAAAGTTTTCTATTTTCATGTCTGTCTTGCTCACTCTTACCGATCATTGAAATAATCTGGATCTACTACTTCGATTCTGGTGAACTTATTACAAAGAATCTAAATTCCTTGTTAATTTTGTCAATCTGGTGTTCATTATGCATTTGCCTTGAATTCTGGCCCACACTTATTCTGAAAATGCAATGTAAAGCTAATTCGGTGATGGTTTTCAGTCAAGTACTTACATGGCATTACAAGTAAAAGTACGTCAAATCTGGTTTGATTTATCAGGTTTTGAAGGGTTCTCGGGTCAAGATGAACGTAGAGAACGAAAATCAGATTTTGAGAACTCTGAGGATGATAGGCGAACAAGAATTGGCAGTCTGAAAAAGAAAGCAATAAATGCGTCAAGCAGATTCAGACATTCTCTCAAGAAGAAAGGCCGGAGAAAAAGTGCCAGTCGTAGCAATTCTGTTTCTATTGAGGACGTTCGAGATGTTAGGGAGCTCAAGGCGGTGGATGCATTTCGACAGGCACTTTTGTCGGATAGCTTGTTGCCTCCGAAACATGATGATTACCATATGTTATTGAGGTTACTATCCCTTGTTCCTTACCATTTATATCAGATATACGAGCAAAAGATGGATTATTTCGTAATAATATGAATAGAAATTACATTTCCTGTTTTGCTTGACTCAGTAGGCATTACATGGTTAATTCTTAAATTGCTTGTAATAATAAAAGCTGCCCTCTCTATTTTGAGTTTTGACTTTCTGAAGACGGTCATATCAGTCGCGTGACCAATAATTACGCTTAGCTCTATCATGATTTAATAATTGTTATAGGTTGGTTCTAATGACAGGCTGTAGCGTTTCAAACAACAAATGGCTTCTGCTCAAGAGTTCATGTTTTACATACATGGTCTCTTTGCATAGTTTTAAGGTGCTTCATAGGCAGGTTGCTGATTTGCCTTATTCTGTGGCTCAAAATTGTGATTAACAAATGTTATTGCAGATTCCTTAAAGCGAGAAAGTTCGATATTGAGAAAGCAAAGCACATGTGGGCCAATATGATTCAATGGAGGAAAGAATATGGCACAGATACAATTATGGAGGTGAGTCATCGGATAGACAAATTGACCCAGCCACTTGTTTTGTTTTCTTCTTTCAGACAATCATGTTTTGTTTGATATAACTTTGGATACAAGACTGTTAAATCTGGTGGTTAGTGCAACTATACTACGCATTTATGACAGGAATATCTTCATCTCTTTCTCGATCCAGGATTTCGAGTTCAGTGAGCTGAATGAGGTTCTGCAGTACTATCCACATGGTTACCATGGTGTGGATAGGGAAGGAAAACCTGTTTATATTGAGAGGCTAGGCAAAGTTGATCCTGGCAAGCTGATGCAAGTAACTACCTTGGAAAGATACCTAAGATACCATGTTCAAGGTTTTGAGAAAACATTTGCTCTTAAGTTTCCGGCTTGCTCTATTGCTGCAAAGAGACACATAGATTCAAGTACAACAATTTTGGATGTCCAAGGCGTGGTATGATGTCTGTCCAAGTGATGATTGAATATCTCCTATGATCCATCTTAAATTGGGTTAGTTAAGACTTTGATTAACCATACTATTCTTCTATTTGCTTTCTAGGGTTTCAAGAACCTAACCAAATCTGCACGAGACCTCATCATGCAACTGCAGAAGATTGATGGTGACTACTATCCGGAAGTAAATAGTTTATATTATAAGATTTATAGTAGTTTCCAAATTTTTGGGGCTTCTGAAGTTACGTCTTGTTATTTATCTCACCAATTCTCTGTGCAGACATTGAGTCGGATGTTTATCATCAATGCTGGTTCTGGTTTTAAGCTGCTCTGGAGCACAGTGAAGACATTTCTTGATCCCAAAACTACTTCAAAGATTCACGTATGTCAATGTGTGAATTGCTTGAGTTATTTTTCTAAATAATGAAGAGTAATTTTGTGATGCACTTCATTGAAGTTAAAATTTTCAGCGGTTCATAAATATATGATGTTAGTATGGGATTAATTTGTACTTGAATATTCTGCTAGGTTCTTGGCAACAAATTCCAAGGTAAATTACTTGAAATTATTGATGCAAGGTAATTATAAATTTATTTCCGTTAAAGGGGTAATAGTTTGGTCAAATCATTTTATCATTTGAAATTTCTGGTTGTCCTTGGAATTTTCAGTGAGCTGCCGGAATTTCTAGGTGGTAGCTGTACTTGTATAGATCAGGGTGGTTGCATGAGGTCCGATAAAGGTCCGTGGCAAGATCCAGAAATTTTAAAGGTTTTCTGCTTTTCTCATTAGCCTTTTCCTTACCCAAGGTGCTCTGGTTTTCTTTGCTTTCATCTGACTCAATGAAGGCTGCTGCACATGCAGATGATTCTTAGCGGTGAAGTGCAAAATTCCAGACAAATAGTAACTGTTTCTAATGATGAGGGCAGGATGATTGAATGTGATAAGACCTGTTATCCAATGGTCAGGTTTCCAGCAGACGCTGCATGAATGAGATCATTTAGATTTGCAAGTTTGAGAACAGTCATAAAATTCATTTGCTCTTCCTTTATTTGTTGGTTTGAGAACAGATAAAAAGCAGTGATACATCTACAGCAGAATCAGGATCTGAAGTTGAAGATATCACTTCTCCCAAAGCAAGTGGGAATTGCATAAACCCTAGGCTGACTCCTGTCCAGGAAGAGGTAAGGGATCATGATCATTTGCTCAGAGTAGTCCAATAAACACGTAGATCTATTTGATGTTGGGATAAACGTTGATTTATTCATGAGTTTTAGTTCTTCATTCATGAAGACATTTTTGTTCATCCAGCTAGGGCGGTTAAAGATTTTGTTTTTATATGTTGCTTACTTCCGTATGACTTCATTATGAAAATTTCTGTGCATCCTATTTATAGTAGCAGCATTAACCCTCTTGCACTGACTCAGAATGTTCTCTCTTTGATATACTTAAATATGTGTAAGCCAGCCATATATGATGCTGCCAACTATTGAATTAAGATCTAACTTCTGATTCTAATTTATTTTGGTATCTTGCTATTGCACCATGTCAAACCCGATAGTTCATGCCAGTCTCATTTATATTTTCACTTACCAGGTCGTCTCTTGCAACCACTTCATATGTCATTTTATGGGACAGAACTATGTTGATCTTGAGGTTGCGAGAATTGTGATAAGTTATTCAACTATATTGTTTTTGTCCAGGCTAGATTGATCAATAGAACTAGTCTTGCTGGAGGCTTCTCTGAGTATGACGAGTATGTTCCCATAGTTGACAAGGCTGTTGATGTTGGGTGGAAGGAGAAGCAAACCACACCTCAAAATTCTTTGAACTCTATTGGTAAAAATATAATGCATCTTTCGTGAATTTATTTCCTTTTTAGTTGTTGTTGATTTGCCATAATTATTAAATGAATATGGATATTATTATTCAAGCCTACATATAAGATTAAATCTTTTTTGTCAGATGATAGGAAATTCATGTGTAATCTTGCGGTTATGTTGAATAAGTTCAGACTTGTATGTTTACGCTGTTCTGGGCAGAAAAGATAAGTAATTTTAATATTATTTGTTTTGCAGAGACATCACTATCAAGTATTGAAAAGTCTCCTGAGGGGATTTGTGCTTATATCTGGTCTCTTATTAAGGGCTTCTTTGTTGCCCTCTTTACTTTTGCGATTTCATTAGCATTTCATATCACCAAGAGAACCCAGCACTCGGAATCTGATTCTGTTCAGACTATGGCTGACGTGCCTGAGCCCATATTCAAGGAGGAATCCCGTCCTCCTTCCCCTGTTCCTGGGTTCTCGAAGGCTGAGGTCCTCTCATCTGCCTTAAAACGGCTGGGTGAACTTGAGGAGAAAGTCGATATGCTACAATCAAAACCTAATGCAATGCCATATGAGAAAGAGGAACTGCTGAATGCTGCAGTTTATCGTGTGGATGCTCTGGAAGCAGAGTTGATTGCCACAAAGAAGGTAACCCTATTTGATTTTGAAGTCATATTTTTTGCCTCAGGCTAGAAACATAGTAATTATCTAATTCGGTAATGCCTGTTGTTTTATTCATTATGTATTGTGCATGCGTCTAATTCTAGAGTTAGTAACGAGTCTTCATTATCTCTGAGGTAGTTAATAATGAAGTTTAACTCCTGCATTTTCAGCTTTACAGATCCTTGGTAAAACTTCAAGTATATACTACCTCCGATTCTAATTATAAGATCTCGTTTATAGTTTACAAACGAGGTCTTATAATTAGAACCGGAAGTAATATTATCTATTTGATTATCAATCTTTTAGTTCACGCGCTTGCTCACAATTACTATAGGTATTATGGTGCAAATAAAATGTCTACCACATTTGGGGGGATGTTATGATCCTTGCCTATCCAAATTCGTGCACATGTACTTCTGTGCTACATGTTTTAATTCTCTGGTGCATGGAGATTAGAAAGCAACCTCGATTATTTGCTCTGCCGCCTATCTGCTTTCTAAACTATTGCAATCCACTGTTTTGACAGTCTCAGGACAACTGGCCCTTTACCTTGCGAATTCCGACTGTAACCCTCACCATGATTGGCTGTGTGCCAGCCTCTTCAACACTTTCTGATGTAGAATTATTTATGTATATTAAACTGGTCTTTTCATCTTCCTAAATAGGCTTTATACGAAGCGTTGATAAAACAAGAGGAACTTCTGGCATACATAGACAGTCAAGAAGAAAGCAAATCCAAAGTAAGCCCCGTATGCATTGAAACGAAATAAAATTCAATTGCTCTTTAACTCCATGCATGGAACTCACTTGTCCAATTTGTTTGCATAGCAGAGAAAGTTTTGCTGGTGAGGAGAATTATGTACAGGACGGTACAAATCAATGGGTATTTTGTGTCTATTCTACGTGTACAGTGGAGCTGCTCGAGAATGTGCCTTGAAGTTCATCGTCCAGTGAAATCGTCAAACATTGTATTTTGGTGACAACTCGAGGGTCATTGAACATAGTCTGAATGATTAATCTGGTTGTCTTTTTGTTCGTTCGTTTTCATTATTTTATGTGGTGAAAGACTGAAAGTGATATATGAGCCTTGAGATATGAACCACAGGTTCCACATTGCGCGGTAATCCACTTGCACTTGTGTTCTCACAGTTCTGTTGTGAAAATCGGTTAAACTGTTCCAGGGGTCATTTGCGATACGCACGAAAGTTTTATTTAGTTATTAATTCAGCGATGCCATGCGTAGAAATCATGCTAATCTATCTTCTTTCAGCGACATTCATTAGACTTATATTTCCTTCATTACCAAATGATGATATCAAAAACGGAGATAATCGTCCAAAACCTAATGTGCCTTGGCGTAGGTGTTAGAAGATGAAAATTCATACTTTATATTCTATAAGTACCTAAATTGAAAAATAAATTTTTAATGCGCATTAGATGCATTATAGGAGTATTATTTTTTACGTCGTTTTTAAATAAAAATAAAAACCATTTTCTGTTGATTATTATTTTTAATACTCAATAAAATTTTTTTTTTTTCTTTACTGTTTTGCAGCAACAATGTTATGTTTTTTTGGCAATAAACTTAGATCTGAATTGAAATGTCAATTTATACAGCTAAAATAAAGGTAATTAGTGAATTGAAATGGCAATGGCGAGTTTCTTGCTCGTTTTACGTATCACTGCCCGGAGGGCGACCCACTGGTGACGGAGGCACGGGCTTTAATTACCTGTTTGAAGATGGCATTGGAGAGAGGGGAGTTCGTCAATTGGCTATTGATGGCGGCAAAGGGGTAAAAAACAAGAGAGAGAGAGAGAGAGAGAGAGAGAGAGAGAGAGAGAGGGACGGAGATCATTGAAACTGATGCTACGGAGGTGATTCGGTTGGTGAGTGATTTCTTTTTCTTTTTTCTTTTGGGACCAGTGGTTGGTGAATGGTTTCAATTATTAGAGATATGCATTGATTATATTAAAAAATAATGTTAAGTGGACATTTCTATAGAAATTTATTATATATATTTCAAAGATTTACAACCGCGGGTTCTATTTTATTTCATGATATTTTAGCATACAGACTACGATATTCACCGCATTATATCGACAAGACAAATATTATAAAGTCATAATTAAGAAATACAGATGATTAAAAACCTTATAAAAAGGTTAATGCTGATTATAATTTCTTAAAAAAATTTAATACTGACATATAAAAAATATTATTAAAATTAATCTTATTTTGCCAATACTAATTTAGTATTAGTACAATATTACATTAAGTTCTTTATATCTTATTTTGCCAATACTAATTTAGTATTAGTACAATATTTATATTAAGTCTTTATATTTATTACGTCAAGTTTTCTAATTATATATATATATATATTTAGCCATATGTAATTAGATCACTTAACATAAAAGATATAAGTAATTTTATCTAAATTGTTGTCGTCGTTGCTGCTGCTGCTTTACTGAGGCGGACCAGCAAAGCCTCTGGCCAGCCACATCCTGAGAAGTGTTGCGTCTCCGGTTTCATTATTTAACACGTGACTCTGCACCTTGGAGTCGTCAACCCATCACATTCAATCTCAACAGCTTTCGTCTTGTTAGGCTATCACCTCCCCAAATATCTAACAAGGCACTGTACCCATCATAGGATTCCTCCACAAAATTCAGCCACTGCTCTAGTAAAAAACAACTTTGAAATAGAAGTTTTAAAAAATAACAGAAAACAAATTTTAATCAACGCTTTTGTTGATATAAAAAAGAGAAAAATAAAAATAATAGAAAGTCACAGCCATACAGTCTAATTTATTAGAAATCATGGCTTTTTTTTTTTTTGGCTTCCATGGCTTATAAGTCTTATAAGTTAGTTTTTGCAAATCTTAACAAACTTTTTGGCTTCCATGGCTTTCATGAGACCTATTCTAATTTTAAATTATAAGTTAGTTTTTGCAAATCTTAACAAACTTTTTTTATTTTTCATCTAAATTATTTACTGAATAAAACATGTTAATATTTTCAAAGTCAATAAAAAAATATAAGAAATTAATTAAAAAATAAAAATAAAATTGATACAAAATTATAACTTAGACATTAAATAATAAAAGTTACTAAAATTTTGCTTTTGTTAGTCATTCCTTTGTTACTCTGGAACCATGCAACGAATGATAAACGCAAAGAAGTCTGCCAAAATAAAAACAAAATGATGGAAGGATTTGGATTAATGCTGACAGAAAGGGGCATGAGGGCATTGGTGACCTTTGATGCGTACGTGAACGTATCCAAGAATATAGCAATATATTAATATATTATTATAAATGAAAAAAATTATAGCCTTATTATGGGAGAAGATTTCGGTTTCTCTCCGCAAGTCATAGAAATGCGTAGCCACCGCTGACTCTGGAAAACAGAGTGATCGCAAGACTTGCCAGGTTTCTCGTGACGGCTCGCTTGCCAACAGATCTCACCGCCACATGCATTATCATCCTTCCTTCAAGCGGCCTCACTTCGCTTGTATATTTCTCTCTTGCTACTTTCTTCCTCTTTAACCGAGCACTAGGAACATATTTTTGGCCGTTAGGCGCCCTTCGTCTGAATCTGAATATATCTAATTTTGCTTCCTCACTTTCTGGCCTGATCTTTCTCTCGAAAGTTTCTGGGTTTTAGCTTCTCGCCCAAACTCCACGCTGGTGCTATCGAATATCAAAGATACACTAACTCTCCGTTGTAAAGCAGAGATACACACTGTAGGATTTTGATTGTGCGGTTAACTTAACAATGGATTCCGCTTGCGCGATTCTAAATGCCAATGCCAGTCTGGTCAAAACTAGCAAAGCAGTCCACTGTAAAACAGGCACTCGTACTGGGTTCTGGGGTGAGACTACAAGGGGAAGTCTGAATGGCAGACTTTCATCTCTTCAATTCCAGAAGAGGTCAAGAACCGATATGACTGGTACAAAGTCGAAGCCTGGCGTTACGTACTCTGTTCTTACCCCAGACATCAACAAAGAGGCGGCCGTGGTAAATGATTGAGATCATGTTTTTATTTTCTCAATGCGATGGCAGGGCCAAAGCTGAAAGATTTGTGTTAGAATTTTAGTATCACTATTGGATATTGGATTTCCGTTTCAGGTGTACGAGCCACCCAAAGTCGAGACTTCAGAGGCAAACCCAGAAAAGGTAGCCTCCATCATATTAGGCGGAGGTGCTGGAACTCGCCTTTTTCCTCTTACCGGCAGAAGAGCCAAGCCAGCGGTATGATCTTCTGTTTTGTTTTGTTTTAATTTACTAAAACTGATCAAATGATTGCATGTTTTAGATACTGACTCGATCCTATATTTTTTTAATTAGAAATGGATGCAACGGCGTTATTTTATGCGAAGCTTGAATTTGAATTAAATTTTTAGTTATGAATAATTTTTGCCTGCTTGCAGGTTCCAATCGGAGGGTGTTACAGACTTATAGATATCCCGATGAGCAATTGCATCAACAGTGGCATAAAAAAGATATTCATTTTAACGCAGTTCAACTCTTTCTCCCTTAATCGCCACTTGTCTCGCACTTACGGTAATGGCGTGAACTTTGGAGATGGCTTTGTGGAGGTAATTTAATTTGGGCATACGAAAGCTTCTTCTACCTCCCATGTGGAATGATTGACAATATTTTATAGAAGTGAATAGCAAAATAAGGGAGACTATTTGTCTTCAAGCAAGGATGTCTTAGCGGGAATTATAAATTAGCTAAATCCTAAAGAGCATAATTTACCTGACATCATATCAGGTCCTGGCTGCGACTCAAACACCTGGAGAAGCAGGGAAGAAATGGTTCCAAGGGACAGCTGATGCCGTGAGGCAATTTATTTGGGTTTTTGAGGTAAGAACTAGTGAATCAACGATGTTTGCGTATATTTTGAAGATATTGCATGTATATAGTAAATTAGTGTCAGTGACTTATTTTGACTTATTTTTAGGATGCCAAGAATAAGAATGTTGAGCATATATTGATACTTTCTGGCGATCATCTTTACCGAATGAACTATATGGACTTTGTGCAGGTAAGTGTGAGATAATTTATTGTCAAAGATTTGATCAAATAACAGTTTTAGTTTTCTATTATTTATGCTGATTGTTGAAACTGTACTTGCAGAGACATATAGACACAAAAGCTGATATCACAGTATCTTGTGTACCTATGGATAATAGGTACAAACAAAATCTGAGGCCAAAGTTTCATTGATAATAGATCCCCATATTGTTTTTCAAGTTGATCAGTGTTAGTTCTCTTACAGCCGTGCATCAGATTATGGGCTGATGAAAATTGATCCGACAGGAAGAATTGTTCAGTTTGCGGAGAAACCCAAGGGCTCAAATCTAAAGGCAATGGTAAATATATTGCTCCTCGCATTTACTACATAGTTTTTACCATTGAAATCATATTTGCAGTTAATTGATCGGTTTTGTGTCCAACGAAGCTGATGCACTGTCACATCTAATAACTGCAGCAAGTTGACACCACCGTCCTTGGATTATCTGCACAAGAAGCGGAAAAATACCCTTACATTGCATCAATGGGTGTTTATGTCTTTAGAACTGAGACCTTATTGAAACTATTGAGATGGAGCTTTCCTTCATGCAATGACTTCGGATCTGAAATTATCCCTTCCGCTGTGAAGGACCACAATGTCCAAGTGAGAAGAAACTCCAACCATGAACTTGTGGCCTATATTTCTTTTCTTAGTTTAAATCGTTGAATGATCTAGAAAATGGATCACTTTAGATTAATTGGTAACACTTGATCCTTCTGATGTTATTGACGTTCTCAGGCATATTTGTTTAATGACTACTGGGAAGACATTGGAACTATAAAGTCCTTCTTTGATGCTAATCTGGCCCTGACAGAACAGGTTGGTTTAACTACTGTGCGAACTGTTATTTCTCTCGGTTCATACCAGAATGTTTGTTTCAATTGACTATGCTGCTACTCGATCATTTTTTGCTTTCTTGCAAGTGAGGGGATATTTTAATGGTGAAAAAATATAAGTTGGCTGTAATTCATTTTTGAAACGAATGAAAACCTGTCACAGACTAGGAAGGGTTTCCTATGTTGCTTCAGATCTTGGGAATCAGTCAAAATTCAGAAGATTTATAGGTGCTAGAAGCCAAGATGATGAGGATATCATTGATAATAACGGAGTTGATAATGGTTTTGAGAATAATAATGTTATCATGGACGTTTTCTTTCACTGGGAAAATTTTAGCATATTTACTGTTTGCAAATGTTATCCTTTGCAGCCTCCCAAGTTTGAATTTTATGATCCAAAGACGCCTTTCTTCACTTCTCCAAGATTCCTACCACCCACTAAAGTTGAAAATTGCAAGGTATCACAAAGTTGATGACAAGCTTCAATCAGTTTGTTTATTTGGCGTTTTTACTGCTCGTGACTGCTCAACTGGTTTTCACAGATTGTGAATGCAATTATTTCTCACGGCTGCTTCTTGAGGGACTGTAGTGTTCAACATTCTGTTGTTGGCGTGCGCTCACGTTTAGAATCTGCGGTGGAACTTCAGGTAAGCCAAGTACATCCTTGTTGTCCCATCCCTGTTTTTGGACTGCCTTTTTGGTCAAATTGTTGTGCAAATTCATTGAGATTTAAATGGCCTTCTTTACCGATAGGCTGGCTTTCCCTAGTATCTTCTTGAGTTGACAGATTTTCATCAATGTATTGTTTTTTTGAGCAACTCTGATGGATTTTTGAATTCGGCCATGCTATCCAGGATACCATGATGATGGGTGCAGATTATTATCAAACCGAGTCTGAAATTACATCTCAGTTGGCAAAAGGGAAGGTTCCAATTGGTGTTGGAGAGAACACTAAAATCAGGTCCGCCATTCATGTCTAGATTCTCTGTTCAACAGTCTAAGACATGCGCACAAATTAAAAATTAGTTGAATCGCCATCGTTTCTAATTTCTGCTGATTTCTTGCGTTGACTTTCTTCAAGGAATTGTATAATCGACAAGAACGCCCGGATTGGAAGAAATGTGATTATTGCCAATAAGGACGTAAGTTTAAATCTTCCTAGTGAAACTACCAAGCAGTGTTATTATTAGTGTTTTGTTGCCCAGCCTTCCCTGATTATTTAAATATATTGACTTTTCAGGGAGTTCAAGAAGCCGACAGGACTAAGGAAGGATTCTACATTAGGTCTGGCATTACGGTCGTACTGAAGAACGCAACAATAAAAGACGGAACAGTCATATAAATCATTCAGAGGCGTCTTCATTGAATGGTCCGATGACTGAAGCTTCTGCGTTTAATTTGCAGACATAAATCTAGGAAAAAGCAACAAGAGCATACAACACATTTGCTCGCTTGTATATTACGATTTACGTTACATGAAATTGAACTTGCTTGTTTCTTACTAGAATAATAAATTCTTTTTCTACGAGATTTTACATACCGGTAACACACTTATATTCGAACTCATCTTAAGGAGAGGAAGCAAATACTGCGGATACCTCCATTTTAACAAATAACTGAGCTCACAATGCTGGCAAGTTTTGTTAGGCTGGCTATTTCAATTCCCGCCATTATTGGCTTCGTTCCACTTCTTGATGTCTTCAAGTCTCGCGAACATTTTTCTAATTCGATTAAGCTTTTGAGACTCTTGAGCAATCAAACCGGCAGTTGAGGGACTCTCGCCCAAGACTATTTCATAGCCATCTCGAAAAGAGTCCATTCCTTCAGCTAGGAGTTGCCAAAATAAGCCTCCAACTGCAGCCCCACCACTACTTGCTGATGAATAGATCGCAGAGTACACAGTGTTGAAGAGTTCGTCTCTGGCCTTCGAGTTTGAACCCAAATTCTTAGTTGATATTCCAAACTCAGCGAACAAGAGTGGCTTATGAAGAGTGTTCTGAGCATCTTTGATGTGCTCGCTAAGCCAACCATTCAAAAACGAGAGTTGGTCTTCATAACCTGAACCTGAGAGCCTGCTCAGGCAAAATAAATCCTCACTATGAATGATATTAACTCATTACAGAAAAATAATAGCAATAATTTGCAATGTCATTATTATGGTCACCATTGATCAGGGTACGAGTGAACTGTTGCAAAGTCAATGCCTGGGATCTGGTTGTTTGCGATGAAATCTGTTCCTACCAGGAAGTTGGGATTAGACTGCTGCTTTGATTGACCATAGAAACCCTCCAGACCAGCTTCAAGCAAGTGGTTTCCATCAATGGATTTCAAAAAAGATGCCATCTCAGTAATCCAAGCCTGTTCGGAGGAAGGAAATCAACAAGATTCAACTTCGTTTATCTTTTTCTGTGTCATTTGAAAAACAAAGTGAAGTTCGTTTAATATTAAAATGGAATGAAGCAGCGGAAGAATGGTGTCTACCTGAACAACTTTTCCCGACTGATCTGAAGGACACCTTATCTCATTCATGAGCTCCCAGGCCATTATAGTTGGGTCATCTTTGTAAGCAACTCCGGTGATGCTGTTACGTCTTGCAAGCACAGTCTGCAACATGAAAAAAATCGAATGTTAGGAGCAACGTTAAGCTTACAATGATATGAAATTCCTTCCGTAACTAGTAAATCAATTCTCATCATACGATGAACCACTCAGGATGTATGCACCGAGTTTATGCAACATCCTCCTTTCACTATATTTGTTCTATCCAACCACTGTAATTTTGACAGACCATGAATGGAATTCCAGAAGACCAAATTGTGGGGGGATTATATGAATAAAAAAGAAATATAAAAAATGTACCTTGATGTGGTTTTTGTAGTATCCCTTCACAACAGGGTTAGTGAAAAAATCATCTTCAGAACTGACGGACTGGCCCTGACTCCTTGCCCACTCCACGTACTGCTTCTTTCCTCCCAAGTTGTCGTAGTTATTCACCAAACTCAACACCAACTTCATCCCATATCTTCTGGCTTCGGATACCACGAAGTCTAATCCCTTTCATTTTCAGTCCATTAAAGAAGAGAAAACAAAATCAGCAACATATCAAATTAAATTAAAAAAACTAAAGCCTGTTGTTGTACCACTCGAAGCGCAACGAACGAATTAAAGAATCAGATATTTAAAGAAGATCAAGATCAAGGTAAACCTGGAACATATCCTCATTGTAGGATCCCGGAGAGTATTGGAGTGGCTTATAACCACCATCACTGAAAGCCCAAGTCCTAGCTATGCTAAGTCCGTGACTTTTAGCCTCTTGAAATGCAGATGAGACTTTGTTCCTCTGAGACGGATCAGAGGCCACGTACATCAACCAGTAGGCATTAAAGCCATTACCATAGAAGGGGCTCCCATTCAACATTAGTTGAACACCACTTGCTTTCACAAACCCATCGTCTGCTCCCACTAGGACTCGCTGTTCTAATATCGCGAACAGAACAATGAAACCCAGAAACAAGAAACGTTCCATCACTCTGTTTTCTCTCGCTTTCTCTTTCTCTCTGATGCAGTATGCTTCGGAACTTGATCAAACAAAGAATCTGTGACTGTTTATATGGTGGGGAAATGCATCTGGTACCAGAATCTCTCTCACAGGGATAAACAACCGAGATGGGGAAAAAAGTACAGCGTGGGCACTAGAATTTAGCAAGAGGAGAGGAGTAGCTCCGTCCAAAGCGAAGGAGGGTGGGCCTGGTGAACAGAAGTACAAATGTAGAAACCAGAACCTTCACACATTCACTATAACGTGGGGCCACAGCTTGGAAGTTGTCACCACTTTTTGGGTGAGATCAACTAAAACCAGAACCGTGCGTAAATGAGTGGTGGCAACAAGTTGCTATTTCCATAGAAAATATCATCAGTAATAAAGGTTGCACAATCAGCTCAAAAAAAAAAAATAAAGGTTGCACAATGTTATGTTCAAAATTGTGGGGTATGGACTTCTGGATGGGTTAGTGTCGTAGGTAAGGATCAAAAGATTGGGTGGAGCCTGGAGATGGATTCTCGGATTATAATTAGTCTTGTAGTAAAAGGTTCTCGGTCTCTCAACCCACAAAATATCTTATCAGTTTGATTAGCGATGCCTTCCACCATGCAGTTTGAGAAGCAAAAAAATAAAATGTAGTTTGAGGAGTGGCAAATTAGTAAATTAGTTGGTACGTCAAGCGTATAACACGGATATAGAAATTAATTTTTAATTGAACTTCTTAAATTGTGACGCCAAAAAAAAAAAAGAATAGTTGATCATCGATGGCTATATTTTTTAGTCCTTTTTTTTTCAATAAGAAATAAAAGATGCTAACTGCCCTTTCAAGAAACACATGTATTTCTTTTTAAAGAATTTATAACTTTTTTTTTCAAAAGATATATCCAGGAACACCAAGCAAAAACATATATCGAAGTTTGAAAGGGGCAGTCATGCGCGGCGCATCCCGTAAAAAAGGTTCAACTGTAACCAGCCAACCCAAGTATTAATGAAGAAGAGAATCGTCGAGCTGTGTTCGAGAAGAGCTTCAATCGCGGCGAAATTGCCGAGTTAGAATGCCTTTTATGTACGACACAAATCTCATCCACTGCCCTTGGTCATTTGAATAGGGAGTCAACTAGAATAAGACGGGCACAGTCTAAATAACATCTTAGTGAATCTGATCCCTTAATACAGCTATCTAATGAGGACAAGCCAAAGATTCATATGCGCAATTGAGGACTAAGCATGGAATAAAGGAGACACCCCCCCCCCCCCCCAAATCAAAATAAAAAAACAAGAAGAAGAAGAGTGGCCGACACGAGTGACCTTATTTCACGGGGAAGCGTCAATAGTCAATACCTGACCTAACATATCACAGATAATTACTTTCAGAAACCCACCCCCCCGGGGGAAAAAAAAAATGAAAAGACAGGATAATTTCATCTCCAATTTCGGTGCCTTTCACTATTTAAATACCATTCACAAGGTTTTGCTCTCTTGATACTCTGTGTCTGCTATTTTTTTGTCACTTTCCATCCCCAATTTTAAGAGAGAAGACTGAAATGAAATGGAGTAGAATCAAATGGAGTAAATGCGGTTTGAACTCTGAATGCTAAAATGACTCCCCCTGCGCAATCAGAGCAACAATGCATTGTTCATTGAAGATATGGTGTCGCTTTCTATATAAAAATCACCTATTGTTCTATTGGTCGCCCGACCCATGATGTTCTGAAAAACAATCCCGTGGAAAATAGCCGTGGCATTTATTGAATCCCGATACAGAGCAATACGAGCATGATACACATTTCACAGCCAGTTGTGAGACGATTAGGTGGAAAGATGCTTCATGACATTGGAAGTGAAGAGGACAGGGCCTCGTGATGGTGTGTTAGTGTGATGGAGACGAAAAGAAGATGAGATTGACCCCTTTATTAAAAATTTCGAGCCATTGCATGTGACTTCCAACCCAATCTCCTACCCGCTCGTGCCATGTTTTCTTTTCCGGGCAACCATCCATTATGTCATATCATCATTTACATTTAACTATTTATTTTTAATTGGATGTAAAAATAATATATATATAATATTTGGTAAGAATGCACTCCGTCCTTCTAATTATATTATGAATTGATTTGTTTTGGAGATATATGAATCAGCTTCTCTCGTTATTTTCTTGATAGAAAAGGATTTTTCATATATCTGCAAAATGATTTTCTTTCATCATACGTGAATTGAGACGAACAACATGCATTATGCACGTGCTGTTATTATTCCACGATAGCTGTTTCTTCTTTACTAATTTTTTGATTTAATTAATAAAAACTATTCACGTCCACAGCATCATTTTATTTGCCATTCAGTTTCATTCTCACTGAACGAATGGGTTATTGGTACTCTGAACTAAAGGAGGAGGCTGACCGGGGTATTGTTTAATTTCCTGGCAATTTCCTTTCAGAAGCCGCAGGGCAGAAAAGACTAATTGGGGGAGTGGGCCCATCATTATTTAGTTTGCTGAGATGAAGAAATCAACATTGGATGGAAAAATTGGAGTGGGCGTGTCGTTTTTAGCCAGTCATAGAACGGCACGTGATCTCCTTTGTTAGCCCTCATGTCTCCCAACTCCCAATACTGTCACGCAAGGACAGGTCTGTGACTGTGAGAAAGAACCGCATATGTGATTGACGGAATTTTAAATTAGATAAAAATTAATAATTCATTGATTAATTTTATTTTTTGTGTTTTGACGTCTGACACCGACACGACGGCAAGCGGAAATGGACACGTGGTTGGATTAGTAATCCAACCGACTTTGCGTAACGAGGATACCTGCGAGAGGACCCAATGGGGGATGACCGCGGATGCCATCCGGTGATCGCCTTCGTGTGGTTTTTATTATTGACTTCCGTTCTAATGATCTTCTCCTTTAATTTTACAAATCATTCAGATATTCAGTGCAAGAAAGGACTTTAATTTTGACTGGAATACAAGTCTTGAATTTAAACTAACTACAATCTAATTTTTACAATTTTAATTATTTGAAACTTTAATCCCTTTGTTTTCTAAAATATAACAACCAGTATTCTTTTTTAAAAAAACCAATATTTTAAGTAGTTTTTTTTTACCGGAATAATATTTTAAGTAGTTAAAACTATATAAATATTGAATTGCATAAAATCAAAGTTTAATGATTGTATTGCTACTAAGTCAAAATTATAGAAATTAAATTGTCCTGACTCAAAATTTAGGAATTATGATCAAATCAAAGCTACATAAATCAAAACAATAGGACATGTTTGATTTTTATTGTATATTTTTTTTCCTGAAAACAATTTTACAAAATCATTTTTTAGAATGAGTTTTGAAAAAAAAATGTTTGGATAATAATTTTTTAAAAAATTATATTTGAAAAAATTATTAAAAAAATCACATTTAGTAGGTGGTAGTTGTTACAAGAAGTGATAGATAGTGGGTAATAGATAAAAAGAGAAAAATATTTCTTCAATTTTTTAAAATAAAAAACAAAAAACATGTAAATGTTATTTTGATTTTTTTGTTTTTAAAAACATGCTACTGTTTTTTTATTTTTCAAAACTATCAACTAAAAATAAATTACTAAATAAATTTTTTTTCTGTTTTTAAAAACACAAAATTATTTTTAAAACAAGAAACTAAACAAGTCCCAGTCTTTCTTATATTTTTATCTTTGGCCAAGCTATAAATTCTCCTTGACTATTAATGATCTATAGACAACTCTTTTAAAGTTTAACAAATTAAAAGCTAAACTTGTTTTAGAATCTTTTATACTTTTTCACTATAATTTTTTGTTGTGAAATTCATGCACAAATAATTAAAGTTATCATGAATCCCCCCTTTTCAAATTTTATGTTTTATTTTATTTTTTGCCCATTTGAGCAGTGATAATTCTATATGAAGTCATTTAATTGGTAAAATTTATAACTTTAAACTCAAAAATATATATATATTTCTAAAATATATATGGAGTCAATATTAATTATCAATATTCTCACAGAAAAGAAAATTCATCAGTAAAACTAGCGGATATTTGGCCGGGCCACCCCCTTGTTCTCAAGCAAGCCCATTTAAGTTTTGGATTCTATTTGATAAGCCCAAGAAAAGCCTTGTACTCACTAAATGGACTGGCCTGTGTCACGGTCTGGATCCCAGATTGCCCAGTAGTTTTTCCAGAAAGCCTTATTTTTAACTGATCTCCATCTCGCACTTGATATTACAATTAAAGTGTTTTTTATATATTTTTTAAAAAAACTTTATATGTCAAAAAAATTACATTTCTGTTAGCATTTTACTATTTTACCCTTGAAAAAAACCTAATCCCACGCCTGAGGCCTGCCGCGCGCTCGCACACATGATTTGACCTTCAATCTACAATTATAATTCTCTGTCACCCGCGTCTTCCATATTCATATTCACAACGGCTTCACCTTCTTCGGCGACCTCAAAAAAATAAAAAGAAAAGAAAAGAAAAGAAAACTTCACGCCCGGCTCGACGCCTTCACCTTCGGTCTCCGTCACCGACGTCCGTCGCCTTCTCCTCCTACGGGAAATCTGCTGGCTCGTGAAGAGATCGGCTGACTCACGCACGTTTTTTTTTTTTCTTGGTCCCTGAAAAAAGAAGAACGAGCAACTAACTACATAATACGCGCTTACGTGGCGACCGTGCTTTAGGTGTCATATTGCCAACACATAAAAAGTAGTGGCACGCAAGTGAAATTACTTGGAAAAGCGAGGTTATTTCATTTCAGTTTAAAGTACTTGCCCATATATATATCGAACCCCAGTCAAGTGACTACACAGCCACCACTGCTACTCCAAACTGCCACACTCTACGCTCTACCCCGCTCGCACTACAATGGCTGCTGCTGGTTCATGTCACTGTGCAGTACGATTTGATAAGACCGCTCGATCCTCTGCATTTCCCCCTCTCTACGGTCAGAAGCTCCGTCATGGTGCTCATTTCTCTGGCACTACGATTTTTTCTCCAGTGAGTTCTCCGGCATTTCGCCTCAAAATATCATGCCAGAGCCGGACCTCTTCTGCTGTATCCGCTGAGTCATCGGTCAGTGGTAAAGGTACTTTTCTTCGTCAACTGCTTTATGTCCATCTCAATAACTTCCCCGGTTGCAATGCTTGATTATCACTTATTTTATAATATGATGTAGGAGGAAATCCCATCGTCCTAGGGTTTTAGGAACTCTTATTTTATTTTGTTTGAACCCGTGCAATACTAATCGCAATAGCTAAAACAACTCTGCTAGATGTGCTGGACTCTCATTTATGTGTACAGATTTTGGATTGCTGCATCTCGCGTGGAAATGTGTGTGATAAGTTTTTAAGAGTTCTATACCGGTGTGTGGAGGAGGGTTCTAGTTGCTGTTGACGTTACCATCTTCAACTGAACTCTCAGTCTGAGTTACAAGCTTGATATGAATACAGAACTAATTCATATTTGATTGTCTCTCCACATGAGTATTCATGAACTCTTCGTGTCTATTATTCCTGTTTGTGTCAGCTTAAAATTGCTGATCAGTAGTTTAAAACCTTATTAGATGTAGTATATAGCTCGTGATAGAAGCGACCTTTTCCGGAATGTGGAAGTGCTAACCTGATGAACTGAGTTCAGTGTTAATCAGATAGCTTCTTTATGGTTTGGAATTTATGAATGACGCGTTACCTACATAAATCCATGCATTAGCAATTTTTAAGCTTTTTGGATACGATTTTGTTCCGCTCTAGCAACACATTTCAACTCTTTCTAGAAATTAAACAGCTATTGTGATATTTCAACGAAAACTGACCTTAAGGATGTTCTCCAATCAAATAGCAACCAATTAAATGTTCTCCTGGCTCTGCAGAAAAAGCTGACCTGAAGGATTTTCTCCATATAAATGATTTTGATAAGGATACTATTTTGAAGATCTTGGATCGAGCCATTGAGGTGAAGGCTCTATTAAAGTCAGGTGACAGGAGCTTCTTGCCATTCAAGGGGAAGACAATGTCAATGATCTTTACTAAACCATCCATGAGAACACGGGTTTCATTTGAAACTGGATTTACATTGTTGGGTGGACATGCTATATATTTAGGACCTGATGATATCCAAATGGGTAAGCGGGAGGAAACTCGTGACATTGCACGTGTTTTGTCTCGCTATAATGACATAATTATGGCCCGAGTTTTTGCACATCAGGTATGCTGGTGAGTTACTTGTATTGTTATATGTTGTGTGACTTTTGGTTTGCAAGACTAGTGTTTTTTGTTCACTTTTTATCCATGTAAATTTACTTATTATATTTTCAATTCAAAATCATTATATCTGGATAGTTATTTTTCACGTGTCACGTTGAATCAGAGTGCGATGGAGGGGTCCCTCTTTTACTACTTCTGTTTATTAGAGTTGGTTCGTTCTGTTGCAGTTGCATGAATTTAAGCACAAGAAAATCTAGAAAAAATTATATCAATTCTCTGGTCTTTGGTTTGCTAGGGTAGGTAGTTTGAATTGAAGTATATTCGTATGTAGTCTGCTTATAATTGTGATTTCTTACACTTGTTAGGTTTTAACTGTTGTGCTCTGTATTGTAAATATAGCCATCAAGCCTAGAGTGTCAAAATAGTAGGTGATTGGTCCTGTTTATCGTACTTCTAAAGCACTACAAAACCCACAGTTTTAATTGAGTGCTCTAAGAGCTCATTAATTCTAAAAAGGTGGACAGAATAAACCAGAATAGAGATTGAAATTAATATTAATTAGTTTTGCTTTACCTCCTCTTGTTTTTTGCCCCCAGGACATACTTGATCTAGCTAAGTATGCAACTGTGCCAGTCATCAATGGCTTGACAGACTACAACCACCCCTGTCAGATAATGGCTGATGCCCTTACTATGATTGAACACATTGGTCGGCTGGAAGGAACCAAGGTTTGGTTATATTGTTAGTCCATGATAGTTTTCTTTTTACTAATACTTCGTAGCATTCTAAACTACTTATTCTCTGATTATGTTCTGCAATGCGCAATACATGTCAGGTTGTCTATGTTGGAGATGGAAATAATATTGTTCATTCGTGGTTGTTGTTGGCATCTGTCATCCCTTTTCACTTCGTTTGTGTGTGTCCAAAAGGTTTTGAACCTGATGAGAAAACAGTTGAGAAGGCAAGGAAGGCTGGAATCAGCAAAATTGAGATATCTAATGATCCTAAAGAAGCAGTTAGAGGAGCTGATGTTGTTTATTCTGATGTCTGGGCCAGCATGGGCCAAAAGGAAGAGGCTGCCTACCGTCGCCAAGTGTTCAAAGGTTTCCAGGTAGATGACATTATTTTTCACGAGTATGTTACTTTTGAGTTATGGTAGGCAATTATTCAAGTTCTTATGCGGATGTCATTTCTATTTAGATTACTCTTGGATTTCGACCCTGTCTCCTTAAGCGAGACGCACAAAACACCCTTCATATTTTCATAGTTGTTGGGCCTGATATGGTCCAATCAGAACTAAATGAAAGCCTCAGCGTTCTGATTATGAATAACACCGAAATTTATAAATTGGTCAATAAAAAATAACTAATTATTTTTATAAGTGGTGAATTCCTAACATAACCCAAAGCAAGACATAAATTGGTCAATAAAGTAGCTACTATTTCTTGAAGGATGGGTTGGCTTGTCAATGTCTCGAGGTCTTAGAAGAATTAGATATCATGTGACGCCCCCCAAAAATGGTGGGGTCCTGAGGGCCCTTCCCCCCAGTTGTCATAGATCGGTATTAAGTATTAAGCCGTTGGCTTATTAATGGTGTGGCAAGCAATGCTTAAACTGTTGAACTGACGATCCGACCTTATAAATTGCAATTTATTTTACAGATAGACCAAAGTCTTATGAACTTGGCGGGTCCGAAAGCTTTTTTCATGCACTGCTTACCAGCGGAAAGAGGGGTGGAGGTTACAGATGAAGTCATTGAAGCTCCGTATTCAATTGTCTTCCCACAAGCAGAGAACCGATTACATGCACAAAATGCAATAATGCTTCATGCACTTGGAAGGTGAATTAGTGTCAATGGCCATGTTGATTGATCTCCTTGGAAAAAGGCGTTTCAATGCTCAATTTCAGGGGTCTGAGTTAGTTTAATTTAAAATTTGCATTCCGAGTTGGGTTTAAATATGAGTGTTTTAGTCCTTGGCAGTTTATGCACGATATTGTTAACTATGCTATGGTAGTGCATTTCAACATGTTTGATTTTGAGCCTTGTTTCAAGTACGTTGCATTTTGAGCCTCACTTCGTTGGGGGGAGGGGGTTAAAAAGGTGGTTGACGAATGCATAATAAAAGTTTCATTACATGTAGACGGGACTGGAACTGCTTTTACATTGCAGATTTTAAATGTTGCCCAGCGTGGGGATTACACCTTTATATTTTGGGCGCGTTGATTACACTTTACAATGAACAAAAATGCTTTGAAGAATGGTCACTTCCCTTGCGTACCATGTGAAGCGCAGCCTCCAGAATTGTTTACCTTTCTTCCATGTTGAACTTGTTCCAGGCCTCCTGGAGATGAAAGTAAGCATCAAATTTAACCCCAGCATCAAAATTTAACTCCACAACTATGTGTTTCCCATAACATAAAATCACAAGATTTCAAGTAACCAAGTTTTCACCACAAATGTACAAGTTTTCATCTTTTATTCACCAGAGATATAAACGATAGAATAAATAAATGAAATGCCAAGCAGCTTCCGACTGATGATTTAAAGCATTTTTAATTTTAAATTTTTAGAAACGGAATCACCGGTATGCTTCCGATTTAAGATTTTAAATCCATAGTTGATAAATAATAAAGTGATAATGATAACCCCCTAACGTATAAGATGTTCTAGTCTACCTTCTATTATATTATTATTCATCAGAGGGAAAATCGGTGTCTCAAAAAAAAAAAGGAAAAAAAAAACATTGTCCTATCATGAGTTAGGAGTTAATTAACACGGGAAAACAACTTCCCAATTTTTATCATGATTTAATAATAAAAAAATAGTTTTAGTTCAGATATTTATCGAGAGATTATTCAAAAATAAATACAAGTTAATATCCACTTTACTACATTTCAAACAATGATTATGATTGATTTGTTCGCCTCCTTACTTCGCACTAAACTTGTGTTAATTACAATGGGAAATTGAAAACTAGTCAAATGAAAACGTCAAAAAATACGACTTGAACAAATTCTTATATAATCGAGATTATTATAAAGATATATGACGGGGAAATGTAGTCAACCTTACAGTCAGTTGAAGATTTTTAAGAAGATCCACCAAAGGTAAGAGACAAATTGTGGAATTATAATCATTAAGTTAGTAAGCATCATTATTAATTGGTTTCGGGGAAGAATGCTCATTTTCCCCCCTCTTTTGGCCGCAAGGACAATAAAGCTAAGCAATAATTGAGTAATCATATTTCATACTGTTGAATGAGGGATGAAAGGCGCACCTTTAGAAGATCAAAGACCTTCTCACAAATGTACTTTTGCTGAATGCTTGCTCCCCGCTGCTGCAACTTGTCTGGATGCACAAAAAGAGTGGCTTTACGGTAAGCTTTCTTTACAGCTGTGGTGCTTACTATATCTGTCAAGTGAGTCGGCTGCCAACCACTATCGGGCCCAAGTATCTGCGAATTAGACATCAAGAGGCATAACAAAATAAATCTAATGAGAAAGGCCAGACTAACAGAAAGGCACTAAAATCATTATATTAGTAACATGACATAGCAGTTACGATGCATTGAGTATGCCATCCTGGAAGATATGATGTCAAGCAGCATATGCGAACATTAAATTTGATATAATTTTAAAATGGTTACACATACATATTGTAATGTCGAAAGTAATGCCCGCAAGTTTCCTTCCTTGCCACCTGACCATCTTTTAACATCACCATCGAGAGCTTCTGCGACCCTCTGCCAGAAGATAAAAATAGAAGATTATAGACAGACAAGGCAAAAAGTCAATCAGGGGCATGAATGCAAAACCGATAGATTACGTTTCTCTCCTCTTGCTCCTTCTGCACAAGACGATCACGGGCATTCTTTTCAGCCAGAGCTTTTGCCTGGATTCAAGAAGAATGAATAAAGAAACCGTAAGAGATGATAATGACATTGTAGACGAGAATCTCTGCAGAACCAGGAATCATACCACACGTTCTCCTATTCTTTGATGCCTCTCAGACCTAGCTTTGCATCTCTGAGCAGAGTCTCCATTAGCTCCATCAAATGTATCTGAAGATTTAGTAAGTTCATCAAGAATATGAAAATTGTACAAGATCTATAAAAATCTAAAACAGCAAATGAAGAAATGTAAAAAGATGTGAGATAGGTCAGCTGCAGCAGAACTGTTCAAAATCACGTACCGCCATAGCTGAAAGATTTGGAGTGGAAGTTTGTCTTCATTCCATTATCTCTTGAAGCACCAAAAGACTTCTCTGTGGAAAACTTGTCAGATTTGTTTCTCCATTCAGAAGCAGCCTTCTCAGACAGTGCCCTTTCTAGGGCCCGGGCCCGTGCCTCTGCAGTTGCTCTCTCTACAGCAGCACGCTCAGCTTTGAGTTTTGCTTCCATAGCCGCCCTCTCAGTTGATGTCTTTTCATTTGCCTGACCTGTGGTCTTTACTAGCCTTTCCCGTCCATCAGAAACATTTTTTCTACGAGCTTCAGCAGCAGCTTTCTCCAGAGCAGCCCTTTCTCGGGCCTCTGCAAATGCCCTTTCACGTGCTTCTCGGATTGCTCTTTCTACGGCTATTTTCTCTTTGTCTCTTTCTCTTTCTCTTTGCTTTTCTTTTGCTCCTTCATTTTTCTTGAGGTGGTCCACATCTGGCTTCAGCTTTTGTGATGTCTCATCTGCTTTCTTCTCTTCCATAGTTAGGGCTGCTTCATAATTCTTCTTTAGATTGCTGTGAGCTTGTTCAATCTCTTGACAACCAAAGGTGCTGGATTTCCATTCAGGCATAAGAGGTGGTTGGGATGCTTCCATGCTACTTTCATTGTCAACCAAGATTTCCTCATAAGAGGAGTTGCATCGATTTTCATCTATCTTGGCCTTCAAGCCATCTTCATCCTCCTCCATGTATTTAAAGACGTCTCGCAATTCGGGAGATGGTTCTTCAACAGGCATTGCCAAATTACAGTTATCTTCAGCTTCTTCCCAGCAATCATTAGGATTTTGCTCCGCATTTTCATGAGGATCACCAATATCTGTGGCAGCGCTGTCAAAGGAAACTGTTTCATTGGCATGCTGCATCTGGTTCATTGCTTCATTGTGTTGAAGGGCACCTTGAGCCAATGTGGATGTAAGCTCCAGTTCCCTAAGATTGTTAATCACTTCAAGAGATTCTGGTCCATTGCATTTCTCTTCATGCTGGGGTGAAGCATTACTTGCTACCAGTATTTCATCTTGCTCGCTAAGAGAATACTCTTCTGGAGTTACTTCTGGAATTTTACCACATTCAACTGTTGTATCAGCAGCTACTTCAATTTTGCTTGAGTTATCACCATCGAGCTCATTGTTAGGACTGATTTCTCTGGTTCTATCAGCTTCCTCAGTTTTTTTCTCCTCACAGATTTTTGCTGGCTCACTGCTATGTTTCTCAGTTTCTTCAGTCAGATAAGTAGCTCCTTTGATTTCCATCTCATCCTCTTTGGCATCTTCAACTTGGTCACCTCTATCAAAGTCACTATCTTTTAGCATTACTTCATGAAATTCTTCCTCATCATCAGTATGGCCCAGAATATCCTCCAGAATTTCCTGCATATGGATATTGCCAAACCTATTCTCATTGCCTTCTCTCTGATAATGATGTTCTGTCTCATGATTTAGAGCCAAAAGAACAGCTTTCTTCATTTTCTTTTGTTCTTCTACAAAGCTCCAATTCTCCATCTGTCTTTCCATAATTATCAAACACGAGTCATGAATATTGGATGGTTTACTACTTTCGATGGACTTCATATCCTCCCTCAACTCAAATTCCTTTAGACGACTGAAAGATTCAACCTTCTCCTCACTTTCTATCTCCTCCTGAGTATCATTCTTCTTGAGCTCAATGAATTCCTGATGATCCCTCAATTTTCTTGAACATTCTTCCTGCTCACAGGGTCCTTCGACCTTTTCCTCATCTTCTGATTTACATTTGATTTTTTTCTCATCCACCATTGACTTCCCCTCCTCACCTATCGTTCTTTCAGAGTCCTCCTGTTCAAGGAAAGGTGCAACCTTATCATCAGTTACTGGCTCATCTTCTAACTCCAAGTTCTTGTCTTTTGCTCCAGAAGGTGTTTCTTGAGCTAACTTAGTGTCATCTACAAGTTCTTCATGCATAAACATCTTTTTATCCACAAGTTCTTCATCATCGCCTGCTTCATCATCTACATTGATTTTTTCTTCATTAGCCTCTGGTTCACAAGGTCCCTCAACCACTTCTGTTGGCTGATGAGGTTCTTCTTGCTTCCCAAAGGCATTCTTACCGGCATTCTTCTCACACAAGTGATAGTCATCTACAGTGTATAACACTTCCTTGTTATTTTCTGCATCTTTAGAATCAAAATGTGTTTCCTCGTGAGCAGCCTCTTTATGTCCACCTTCTTCCCCTTTAATATGTTCAGCTAGAGTTGATTCAAGTTTCTCTGGTCCTCTCACGAAGTCTTTAGCCACAAACATTTCTTCAGCCCTGAGATCTAAGGTTATTTGCTCTTTTCTCATCATTGGCTTTCCAGTCACAGAAGACTTTCGTTGTAAAACATCCATTTCTCCACATGTTTGACCCAAACTAGTCCCTTCGTGTCTCATTGCTTTATTCACGAATTCGTCTTCCTTTTTTCCTTCAGCTTTCAAGTCATTATTGAGTCTTCGTTTTACGTGATTAGGAAAACCTTCTTTCTTTTTTTGCATCAAATCTTTGGCAACTTTTAATCTTTGTTGAGCTTCTTCTATTGCCTTCCTTAAAGCAGCCACAGAGGCAGCTGCCTCTGAACTTGAATCTATCATGTCATCTAAGTGTCCTGGTGAATCAGCACTAGCAGCAGCTTCAGATGCTGATAGTCGACATTGGGCTGCCACTGATCTCACAGCATGGCCATGGTCATCCAAGTTACCTCCTACAGTCTGAAATTTAGGCACTTCAATGTAATCCGTTCCATCATTTCCATGATTACCCTCACATGCATTTAAAAACATACTAATTGAATCAGAGCTCTCTTGAACTTTAACCCCTCCGTTGGAAGATAGTTTCTTAGAACTATCACTTCCACGGCTAACCTCAGATGCATTGAAAAACATATTAATCGAATCAGATCCATCTTGAAATCTGACTCCAACTTTGGAAAACTCATTTGTAGAACTGTCAGGTGAGGGATCATTAACTGATTTTGTGCAATATTCCCTTTCTTTAATTCCCTCTGCGTAATCACTACCAGGATAAGCATGCTGCAATTCAGGTATAGACTGCTCATCTTTGTTTATCTTCAATGGATTGACTTCTTCAACTAAACAAGTATAAGCAGGGACAGCATGGAGCTGAGCTATGTGCGTTGTGCCATTGTTTATGTTCTCACTTCCTTGGTTAATTTTGTGGTATGACATATTGATTTTTTTGGCACCATATGATGTTTCTTGTGACACCCGTGGGACCTGGTTTGAACAAATAGAAGAATCTCCTTGGCTAGATAGGTTTCCTCCTTTATCTTGGCTACTACAAAATAACAAATGTCAAGAAAACCATTAAGGTTCACATCTGCATTATTTTCAAGAAACATGCAGCGTTTGTTCGCACTCCACTTGGCGAAGGAAATACTGAATACTAATGTAGCACAAAACACCATCCAGTGAAGAAATAAAAACAAAATTTGACAATGATCAAAGCCACCACAAATAGAATGACAGAAGAAGAAGGAACTTTCTTAGAAGAGAATAAGAAAGAAGAGAGTGAAGGCCTAATGACATCAATCCTGCTAAAACCTTCACAGACAAGACTTCCTTAAATAGTGACGTAGAATAGAAGGAATGGAGGACGGGATAAGGAAATTCCACGGAACTGTCTCCCTGGGCAATGGATTTTTCTCGTAAAATAATATATGTAATTACTAATCTACGCAGTTAAGGAGTTCTACTGCCCACGCACTTAAACAAACTGGAAGAAAAAAACAAATAATCCAGAGCAGAAGAAGATGCAGTTTTCCAGTGAAAGAACCGCATGAGCGACAAAAATGACGAAATCGCAAAACAAGTAATAGAAAATTGCTCTGGCAATGACCAAAAATTCTTGATTTCAAGTAAATACCAAGGGCGGGCGTGCGAATGAAGTTCCTTCCAACTAAAGCCTAATGAGAAAGATGCAAGCTAACTTACGGTGCTCGCTTGTGGAAACTGTCTTTCTTCTTAGGCTCGGCAAACAGCTCCTCATAAGGTACAGCAGTATCCGGATTCCCAAACCCTCCGAAGACCTTCGAATAATCGAGCTTGGAGCGCTGAACGTCGAGCAAATTTTTTGTTTCATTGAGCTCAGGAACTTCAAGAACCGGAATCGATGATCCTATAGTAGCTTCCGAACCACCAAAAATTTCACAGTAATCTTCAAAAGAGGAGGCCAAACTAGGAGCTCTAAACTTCACAGGCGAGGCAAAAACACCGTCATATGCAGATTTTCCCGGCACGCCGTAGCCGTTAGAGAACTTTTTAGCGGTGACAGCTCCGAAATCCATTGCGAGTCTCTTTATTTCCTTCCCTGTGTTCTTCCTCCGCAGAGTGATTCCGCAGAGTTAGACACGGAGAAGAGAAGAAGGATCACGGAATGAGAAAAACAAAATGAACAAGACTTTTTCCGGTTGTAGAAAAATGAGAGGGAAAGGGCAAGGCGGTCCGAAAAAGTCAGTGCGTCGTAACTGTTAAAAAAACTATAAACGGGGGCTCTGACTGAGAAGCACGCACTACAGTGGCGAGTGCAGAACTGAAGTGATCGGAAAGGGGAGAGGTGACCGGCAGAGCCGGTGGAGTCAGTCAGGGCTCAATCTCACCATTATCGAAGAAAAGACGGAGCCCGTTAGTTGTCGTGATGCAGGCCATGGAAACAGAACAGTAACAGGGTTCCATCTGTCAAACCATTAGCAGCACCGCCACAACGTCATTTTAAAGGGTAGTTTCGTGAAAAGACTTTGCCAGCAATGGAATTTTCCCCCTTTTTTTTTTTGGCCTGAGCAGCAATGGAATTAGGCCTTCCTTGATATATTCTCTTTTCCAGGCAAAAAGAAAAATATCACTGCCTTCCACTCTTAATATAGTTAATTAATTAATTTAAATATATTAAAAAATTGCAATTAAATTGTTTCCGCTTTGTCCCAGAAGAGGGGCTTGCGCGTAGTTTCTTGCGCTGCTGCTTCCAGCTGTCACGGCTTCTGACTTGGATGGTTGGCAATACTCAGACACGGAATCTATGTTTTTACTTGGAAATATTTTTTTAAAAGGAAATAATACATTAAATATATAATAAAATTAATAATTAGATATATGAACTGAAAGGCTTACACGGTTATACCGATCTTATTATCACTAAAAATATGAATATGAATTTATCATGCTTTTAATAAAAAAAAGTGAAAAAAAAAACAGCATAAATTTTCACACCGTAATTACGATTCATCTGTAATCCTCGCTTATGAATATTTGTAGCCGTAGTTCCCCGTTCATTAAAAAGGTCAGAGAATGTTCCTGCTCTATTTTAAAAATTGTCGTTAATTGCTTTTTTTTTTCCCTTTATCTTTTGGGGGCCAACATTTGCTGGTTGTCTATACCTTGCAACGAGACAGTTAAATTTTGTTAACCCACCAGTCCTATGTCCAGCAAAGCTGTTGCTGTCGACAGTAGGCTGGACTGATGTGTACATATTAGAGGCACAGGAGCATTAAATAGTTTATAAATAAAATTTTAATTATTATTTATTGGATATAAAATAAGTATGTAAAAATAATTTTGTTTTAGTATATATAAAACCTGTTTATAAGTGATTCTATAAAGTCTTTGAGTGGGCTGCCACGCTGCATTCAGATTATTCGTTCATACAAGGTGTCGTTTGAGTCACTAGTAATTACTTTTGTTTTGTTTATACCTGAACTTAGATATGTGAAAAATCAATACAAGATTGCAAGGATTGGAAAAAGAAAGAAAGAAAGATCAATACAGGGGAATCTCGAAATAAGATCTGAAAAAGCGAACGCAAGGTTAACTGTTAAAGGCATGGAGTTCTAAATTATTCAAAATGCATTGGACACCAATACCGTGTTTTTATCAGTGAACAAATGACAATATCAACAGACCCCAAAACTCTGAGGAAGATATGAGAAGAGAACGTCAATATTTTTATTAAGAGGAAGACTCGACCATTTTTCACACCCCAACACATCCGCCATGGACATCTTTATATAAATCTGGGTTACATCTGACACGTACATGAACGCAATAACGATCATGGAGGGAATATTGGTTATTAGTTAGTTTTATATAAAATGAAATAGGGTGCTGGTCAAAAAGAAAAAAATAAAATGAAATAGGGAAGGAGAGGCTAAAGAGAAAGGAGATGGTCACGTCAATTCATTCTCATAATACGGCTTAAATATTTTGCCGTACCTCTCAACTACCGTCTTGCGAAAAAATTGAACTCCATGCATGTGCAATTACTGTAGAACTAACAAAGCTTTTTGGCCAAACGGCTAGCCATGTGCGACCAAGTTATGAAGCGCTTCGCTATTTTAAGTTTTCAGTTTTCCAACAACCAGTGGAATGATTATAACATGAAACTTATCTGCAAAAAAGTGTCGTTATCAGGAGAGTGTAAGCCCAATCGCTATACAGATCTCTCCAGTAAAAGGGACGAATTACGAGGTACTGGTTTTGGGAGAATCTAACCTCAATCATGACGTTGGGAGAATTCAATGACCTAATCAAATAAATATAAGTAGATCCAGCTGCTTGATCATGATCTGCTTTTCATTAGGATGTGCCGTTTGCTTTAGTATCTTTTTGTGACTTCCAATTCTGATATATTCTCTCCTTGCGGCAGGGCTTTAGAATCTCAACTTTCGTTTGCCTTTGTCCCTCCACCCTCGACCGCTACTTTACATAAAAAAAAGTACCAACAACGACAACAATAAAACTGAGCTATCATCACTTTACGCGCCCTTCCGATTGCCAGGTGAGAATTAAGCTTTCAAACTCCGAATCTGCGTCGCATTTAAAGAGTTCGATCAATTTTAATTGTTTTCTAATGTGAAAAAAAAATAGCAGCAGCAAGAAGTTATCTCAACACCTGGTAGCGAGTTAAAGTATGTGTTCTTGAGGTCAAAAGAAAAGTTGGCAGTATATATACATCGGAGTGTTATGATACCAGATTGGTCAAATTTGAGACGGCATCAGCTGCCTCTTAATTTTGTAGCTCTTTCCAAATATTTTTTTTTTGCGGTTTTTTTTACCATTAAATTTTAAATAAAATGTGACATTTTGATATTTTATTTACAAAAAATGATTTAGTTTTCAATTTTTTTACGATTTCTCAAAATTCATAATTTTAAATTGTTCAATTTCTTTTTAACTAAGAACATTAAATTTTTTAAAAATCATTAAAAAATTCAAAATTAAACTATTTTTTTGCCAATAAAATATCAAAAGTCACACGTTTGATATAGAATCTAATGATAAAAAAAACTCTGCAAAAAAGAAGAAGAGAATAATCCCAAAATCAAGGGGCAGCACCCGCGGGGGTAGCTGACAACCGCATGTGATCATATTTAAGATTGTGTTTTGTATTATACCATAAGGAGGAGTTGAGGATCTACTTAACCGAAACGTAACACTTGTAAATATTTATTTGTTCCTCTATAATAAGATCAAATAACAAGATATATGTTCTTTTTCCTCCTGGGCGACAATAGATAGATAAAAGACATGGAGGCTGGCAAATTGCAAGATAAATTTCTGTGAGCATATTTTTGTTGGATAGCGGATGAAAACAAGGGGAGATCTGCATAGGTTGAATACAGCACTTAGCTGGTAAATAGTTATTTTAACTGCCTGGTAAAATCAAATAAACAAATCTAACTTTCCCCTACACACAACGAATAAAAAAATAGCTTGGAGAACGTCGCTTGGCCTGGATGGTTAGAAAGAGTGCCCACGGTGTGCGTTGGCCTCCAGGTCTCGGTTTTGACACCTCACCCTTGCCTTAGCAGGCAATCTTCGGATTAGTCGGTCTCCTTCGGAGGGTCGGATACGGGGGGCGAAAACTACTCAAAAAATAAAGAAATAGCTTGGAGGCCAAAGAAAGCAATAACTTGCTTTATTTTCCTTTGTATTTTTTTAATTTCCATTTTTTCTCGATACTACCAATACAAGATAGCTCTGCCTTTTTACTTTTTCCTTTTATTAATTTTTTTTTAGTTTTTTCAAAACTCACTTATCCCATCCCTGACTGCTACATGCTTTTCTTTTGGACATCGCTTTTATTAGCTTTTTCGGCCTACGTTTCTTGTAAGTCTGCTTCGGGTTTTGGGTTTTTTGGCAGGCTGAAGATCTCCTCTAATAATCCCAACGTTTGGATGGTCAAAATGTTTGTGCGAGACCTCTGAAAATTGGATCATGCATAATTTGGGCCGAGAGCTTTTGGGTAGCCCATTTAGGGAGGGAAACGACGCTGGAGCGCCAAAACTTGGGCAGAGCAGATGAATGTGAGATCGGGGTATATTGTATTCCTGCCTTGGAGGTGAGTTCACCGCATAAAGCAGAATTATTATTTAGGCTTGGGGAAGAAGAAAGACCTTGTAGTTCCTAATTTAAATAGGCGGACTGTACTGCCGAAGACGGTAAGGAGTGAAACCGTGCGGCTAGGTGAATCGGAGACGACATCGTAAGCAATGTTCAGGAACCAGTACGACACGGACGTGACAACATGGAGCCCCGCCGGCAGGCTGTTCCAGGTGGAGTACGCTATGGAGGCAGTGAAACAAGGGTCCGCCGCAATTGGACTCCGATCCAAGACCCACGTGGTCCTCGCTTGTGTCAACAAGGCTAACTCCGAGCTTTCTTCTCACCAGAAAAAGATTTTCAAGGTTGACGACCACATCGGCGTTGCCATCGCTGGTCTCACTGCCGATGGTCGTGTTCTCTCCCGCTACATGCGATCCGAATGTATCAACTACAACTATACCTTCGAGTCCCCTCTTCCTGTTGGTCGACTCGTTGTTCAACTCGCTGATAAGGCCCAGGTCCGTATCATATTTTAAACTGTACTGGGGCTTCTCACTTCTAATTTTGCATTATTAACTGTCGTTTTCTGCTGCTATGGTCGTTATTAAGTGCAAGTCGCAGAATTGCTAGTGTTTAGATCATGGAATTAAAGCTAGGGTTTTGTTTGGAACAAGCAGGGCTAGCTGTCTTTAGGGTTGAAATGTCTTTCAATAGTCTGCCCCCTAGATAGTGAGGGAGTTTTAAGAAATTGGTTAAAGTAGGCCTGCACATGGGACGGGACGGGACCGGGACAACCCCGTCCCGTGTCCCGTCCCGGTTAACTGGTCGGGACGCATTTTGCGTCGCGCGTCCCGTCCCGTCCCGCATCAGGAAGGCATTGTGGATAGGCTTCAAATTGGGCTACACTAATGGGTTTATGGTTACAATGACCTGGCCCAAAACCTTAATTTCCTGCTAGTACCCAAGGGGAATAAATTGGGCTAAACTAAATCCATTGGGCCTATGAATTTTTTGTTGAAAGCCATAGACCCTCCAAACACTTGAAACACACGAATTACACTTCAAGAGAAGGCAGGCCGCAGGGAATTGGGGAAATAAACAGAGCACCTGAATACCTGATTAACAAACCGAAAGAAAACCACCTGAAGCAAATTTGCAGCTTCAAAACATATAATAACAGCAAGGAATTGGGGAAATACACAGACCACCTGATTAACTAACTGGAAAAAAACCACCTGAAGCAAATTTACAGCTTCAAAACACATAATAACAGCAAGGAATTGGGGAAATACACAGACCACCTGATTAACTAACTGAAAAAAAAACCACCTGAAGCAAATTTACAGCTTCAAAACACATAATAACAGCAGGGAATTGGGGAAATACACAGACCACCTGATTAACTAACCGAAAAAAAACCACCAAGCAAATTTACAGCTTCAAAACACATAATAACAAGTTAACAACCACCTGAAGCAAAATATAACTCAATCCAACTAATATCCATGAAGGCTACAACAATCATTTAAATATAGAAGAAGTTCAAGGATTAATCAAAGATAAAGGCTGAAATAATTTGAACACAAGTTGTTTAGTTGTCCAGCATCCATTCCAGCCAAATCAAAATACATAGATAGGCTCATACGCTTAAACTTAAAGTCTTAAACAACAACACAAAATCACAGCTATAGAAATCCAACTCAACAGTCAACATGAACACAAAGATAGAAATACAACAACACAAATTCAGAAGCACAACAAATCAGCAATAGTCAACATTTAGTCATCCACTATTTCTTTGGCTCTTGCTCTTGGTCAATCAAATTTGATGCTACTTCTTCATCTGCAAAGAAAGAAAAGAACAGGAAAAAGACAATTATTTTTAAGAATAAAATAAATTTGATGTTATAAAATAAATAATATGATCATAATTCATTTACCATGTATCACATCTTCAGTGTCATTAAAGTCATCAATGTCAAGTACTTTTAGCTTGGATGTAGATGGAGATAGCCAATTTTGTGCACAAATAAGCGCCTCAACCATCTTAGGGGATAATGAGCTTCTAAAATCATCAATAACACGACCTCCTGTGCTAAATGCTGATTCTGAAGACACAGTGGAGATAGGCATCGCTAATACATCACTAGCAATCAATGAAAGGACTCTATACTTGCTAGCATTGACTTTCCACCAACCCAGAATATCAAATGCAGGATCACGAGCTTCAGCTAACTCAGCATGAAGATACTTCTCCACCTCAGCATACTTATCTGTTTGAAGCTCAATCTCAGTTTGTGCAAGGAACCTTTCCATTGCAGTGAAAGCATCATCTCCATCCATATCTGATTCTACATTATTCAAGTCTGTGATATTGCTAGAAGCCATTTGTGATTGAGTTTCAGTCTGAATTTCAGCCTGAGATGTGCCAAGCACCCTTGAATAATGGTCATACAGGCGATACAGGACATCTGAAACTTTCTTTGTCATCTCTTCACGATGTGCAGGATCATTATACATATCCTCAAAAGCGAATTTTAAAAATTTCATCTTATACCTTGGGTCAAGAACCACTGCTATCACCAACAAAGGATTAAAGTTGTCAAACTTCCCCCAATACTTGTCATACTTGATCTGCATACTCTTAGCCATGGAAGACAACAAAGAACTTTGATTATTTGCCCTTCTATTCAAAATGGCAGCCACATTAACTATTTGTTGGAAGGCTATATTTGATGTCACATAAAGTGATCCTGAAAATTTCAGAGTGACATTGTAGAACACCTTCAGAAATGCAACAAACTCCCTAGCCACTTGAAAATCTGCTGCATTAGGAGGACCAACTAAGCTCTTTTCTAAAAATGATTTTTTGTACTCCACATCAGTTTGCTCCATCCTATCAAACACACTACCAAATTTAATGGCATTTTCCAACATTATATAAGTTGAATTCCACCTAGTTGGACAATCCATGCTCAAGAGATTCTTTGAATCAATTTTCATTTTTTCCACAAGCTCCTTGAATTTTCGAAACCTTGATGGAGAAGATCTTACATATTTAATGGCATTCCGAATGGCATCAATAGAGTGATGCATGTCCTTCACACCATCAGAAACAATCAAATTTAATATATGTGCACAGCACCGTATGTGCATGAACTCCCCATCACAAACTAGACCATTCCAATGTTTGAAAACTGCCTTCAAAGTTGATAATGCACTATCATTTGAAGAAGCATTATCAACGGTGATAGTGAATACCTTGTCAATGTTCCATGACAATAAGCATTTCTCTATTTCTTCTGCAATTGTATCACCCTTATGGTTTTCAACTACTGAAAAATTCAAGAGTCGCTTCTGTAATTGCCAATCTTCATCAATCCAATGAGCAGTTAAGGTCATATAATTGGCATTCTGATTGGAAGTCCATGTATCCGTAGTGAGGGAAACACGAACTTTTGCCTTTTTAAAATAACTTCTCAACTTTCCAGCTTCTTCAAGATACAACTTGTAGCAGTCTCTGGTAGTAGTCATTCTAGAGGGAACTTGAAATCGGGGTTCTATGTCATTCATCATTTGTTTAAAACCCTCGCTTTCCACAATCCGAAAAGGCAGTTCCTCCAATATAATAAATTTTGCAACAGCTCTTCTGCACCGCTCTTGAGTAAATAAATGATGTGTCACTGATTTAGAGGAGGACCCTAGTTGAGAGGCTGTAAACAATGATTGTGTCATCTTGTTGGCTTTGTTTGGATTTTTGGGACACCTCCTTGCATGCTTTCGCAATCCATTTGTCCCATGTCTAGTAGGATGACAAGCAATTGTAGCTGGGCAATACTTGCACTTAGCTCGGTGTTCTCCCTTAGTTTGGTCCAAAGGAAGCTTGTCAAAATGCAGCCATACATTAGATGTTTTCCTTCTTTTTGCTGGTATCTCTTCTCCCTCAATATTTGAGGCATTTGGGGCCTCTGTTTGTGTTGCTTCTTCATTAGACATTGATACTGAATCATTGCTTTCAGTTTCAGAATCTCCTTCAACATTTCCAATGTTTTTTTCAGTAGCGGGTGTAGTGCCAGTAGGGGCCATTTCGGTCTTCCTAAGCAGATTAAGTAGCATTGAACAAATTAAACACATTAAGCAGCATCAAAGTATTTCATATGACTTGAACATATCAGAGACCCAATTTTCAAACACAGTGAACCCAATTTTCAGTTTTTAAGCAGCAGACCCAATCAAAGAACGCCGACTAAATTTCAGAATCAAGATTTTTATCATTTTCAGAACTCCTACTAGTTTAAATGTAAAGTCAAGGAACAAAGAAGCAGCACAATAAAGGGGATTGGGGCTTGGAGACCGGCAGACAGTAACAGGGCAAGGCAGCAAGGATCAAAGCAGTCAAGCAGGTGGGATCGGGCATGATGAACGGATGGAGAACAAAGTTACTTACCTGGTCCTGCTGGTTGCTTACAGAGAGTGATCGACGGAGCAAGCGACGGTGGAACCTGCGACCCGCGAGCCTGCGATTGATCAACGGTGGCACCGAGCAAGGGGCTGGAAGCTCAGATTCAGAAGCTGAGACCGACAGCAACAGGCGAAAATCTTAGATTCAGAAGCCGAGACGAGAGAGAGAGAGAGGCGAGAAGCTCAGATTCACCGATTCAGAAGCCGGTGAACAACAGTGAGCAACAGTGACTCGATGAGGAACGACGGTGAACCAGTGAGGGTGAGCGACGGTGACTCGATGATGAGCGACGGTGAGCGACAGTGAATGAGCGACCTCTGACACTGTGAGTCTGTGAGCGATGGTGAACGCGCAATGCAACCGTGGAGATCTCAGATTCTCGGCTTTGGACGCTGAAGGAGGAGGAAATGAGGAATTGGGAATTTGGAACACTGAACAAGTGAACAGTGAACACTAACACTCTAAGTCTCTAACACGACTCGGGGTCTCACACTCTCACTCTCCGTCTCGGTAATTAGACAATCATAATAACAAAAAAAATTATTAAAAAAATTTTTAAAAAAACGGGACGGGACGGGACGTCCCGAAGGCTAGCTCGAGTCCCGTCCCGTCCCGGGACTTTTACTGTCCCGGTCCCGGTGGTGTCCCGTCCCGGCCTCACTCGGGACGGGACAGTCCTGTCCCTAAACCTCCGAGACGGGTACGGGACGGCCGGGACGGGTTCACACTTGAGCACCCCTAGGTTAAAGGAAGACTAGAATGCGGGAGCATGTGCATTTTTTGGATTCCGAAGAAATCATCCTTTTTAATTTTTGTTGTGCCCCCCATTTCTGTACATTAATCAACTTTACATTTTAGTAAATAATTCTGTCAGGTCTAATTTTGGGGAAGCTGTTCTTCTCTAGGAGTGAAATCCTTGGGCTTTCTATGCTACACTGCATGTTTGAGAGATTAATAGACAGATGATGAAGCTGTTTTCAATCTTGAAGTAAAAATAGAAAATCGAAGCTGCAGTTATGCTGCTGTCAAATAAGGATGTAGATTTTGATATTCCCGAAGATATAACAATCGATCATGTCTACTTTATGCAGGAAAAGACTTATTTTAGGGACTGTAGCATTCTTTTGTTGCGGTGGGGGTAACTAATAACTTTTTTTTTTTTTGGGGGGGGGGGGACTCAGTAACTGATAGATCAAACGCGGAGCTGTATCTTCGTCAGATAAGCTCACTATTTGATAGGTATCTTTTTAATTTAGCATGAGACTGCTGGCACCGATTAGACAATCAATCATTTTAGACAGATAGGATTGTTTTTTTTTTTTTTCCCCTCAGCTTCAAGTACACTGATCTGGCTAATGTAAGATGACAATGCTATTTGTCTGCAGTTTCTTTTCATTTCTCTTTCAGATTTTTAGACTTGCCAGTCACAATAAGTGTAAAATCACCTTATAACACAATAGTAATTATATTATGGATTTCGAGACTTATTTTTGAATAGCAAATTGTATTGGTACACAATGATATGCAGCTGGAATTTTATCATATAAATGAGATATGCTATAAAAAAGATATGGTTGAAAGGAACACAAGTCCACATATTAGTTACACTCTAGGACTTTCTAATGCCATTTGGTTTATTGTGATCTGGAGGTGTTGTGTGGCACTAAAAGAAAGTAGTTGAAGTTTCATTCCTGTTCTTATACTTGATTGCCTAAAACTCTATTGTGGAGTAATTGCTCTATTTTGTGCTTTATCTGTGTTTGATATGGTGGGACATGAAGTATTAGACCTAACACATTCAAATACTGCATTTCATAATCAAATGGTGCAAAACATGTTTTCATTTATTTAATGTCACTGTATATCAAAACTACGTTTTCTATCCACCAATTGAAGGTTGCATTTGCTGTCTATAATCTTGACTTCTGTCCCTCAATTGAAATGCTGTGCTCTTTACTTGAAATATCAAACAGTTTTATGTCACAGATAAAGCCTCTGTGATTCTTTTCCTTCATTTAAGAAAAAAGGGTCTATCACCATCACCATGGACTGAATAATTTGAATGCCTGATCTGTATCATTTTTCCCAGCACTCAAATTTTTTTTTTGGGGGTGAAATACCGCACCGTAATCCGGCGCCTTTGACAACCGACTAATCCGGACTCAAGGGGCAGGAGTGCTGCCCACATAGGCAGGGTTGGCCCCTCTCCCAATGAGAGCGCTTTCCCGGATTCGAATATGCATTCTCATCCTTACAGAGGGCGAGCCTACTTACCAGCTCGACCAACTGCTTGTTGGTTCAATTTGTCTTCTTAATTGGCACTTGTTTCATTTCAATTTCAACAATATCTATTGTTTAAACAAAAGTCAATTTGTTCAGTTGAATAAATTCCCCCCACCTCGATGCTAGTAGAACTGTTCAGAAAATGAAGTCCATTTTGATCCTAAAAATTGAAGGAACAGAATAAAATAAGGTATTGATGTGCACTTGTATCTCATACTTTTAAACTGAAAGGTAGAAAATCTCTGAATATTGAAATCTTTTTATATTATTATTATTATTATTATCATCATCAAAATTCAGTGGGTTTTTACAGGCAAATTCAGTGTTTTTTTGGGTACATCTTAGATGTGCTTTTAGTCGACCTGAGATTTGGCTACGGGAAGGAAACTGGAAAATTTTGCTCATCATTCTATGGTTGTCTAGAGGATCTTTTAACCTTTTTGGCTCATTTCTAGCAGATTAAACATCCGAGTTTGTTGCCAATTTTTTTAACAAAACCAGGAGTCCAGGACTGGTATTCTTCCAGGGATTTGTGTTTATATAATATTTAATTGCTGTGGAGGCTTTATATTCGTTATTTTCGAAGTGATACCTGCATATCGTATTGCCAAGGTTTTTTGGCCAGTAACTCGGTTGAGGTGGTCCTTGGATTGCTATTTCTGATCTGTATTAGATTGATAGGTTTGTACCCAGCGGTCATGGAAAACGGCCTTTTGGTGTTGGTCTCCTGGTGGCTGGATTAGATGAAGCTGGAGCTCATCTCTATTACAACTGCCCAAGTGGAAACTACTTTGAATATCAGGCTTTTGCAATTGGGTCGCGCTCACAAGCTGCAAAGACGTACTTAGAACGTAGGTTTGAGAACTTTTCGGGCTCTTCACGGGAAGATCTGATTAAAGACGCACTTGTTGCTACAAGGGAGACATTACAAGGGGAGAAGCTCAAGAGTTCCATATGCACAGTTGCCGTGGTTGGAGTTGGTGAGCCGTTCCACATACTGGATCAAGACACTGTACAACAGATGATTGATGCTTTTGAAATCGTGAGGGAGGAGGAAGTTCCTTCAGCTGAATCTCAGCCAGCAAGTGGGGGGGATGGTGGCGCTGATCAAGGTGCTGGTGCAGACCAAGGAATTGCTCCAATGGACATTTGATGATTAGGTGGCATGTTAATGTGTTGTGGGATTGTGGAAGACGAGTTTTTCTGATGGATTCTTTTCTTAATCGTTTTTTTTCCCCATACAACTCATCATTGGCTCATAATTATCAACAGTTTCATGGCAGTTTCTTGTGGTCTTCCTCAGTGGCCGATTTACTATCCTGCGCTGGCAAAAACGGTAGGCAGACTGGCTGTGCTTAATTATTGCTGTGGCATTTCTTCAGTTTAAATTTGAAGAAGTTTATAGGGT